AACTTGACTATAAAGATTACTTGACTGTTGTACTGAGTATTCATCCTGCGATTGTATCTCTGACGTGATTCTTCGGTCGTCCGTTGTGCTTTCTGGAAGGTGCAAGAGAGTGGATTGGCCGTAGGGTACCACAGTGGGAAGTCCAGAGTGGAATATTTTTGACTTTGGGATTGCGTATTGAAAGTTATGAGATCCTTGTTCTGTCGATTGGCTGGGTAAGTTTATAGCATTGTTTTTCGATGTAAAAGTAGCGTTCTCTTCTTTGCTTGTGCATGAAGTGTCATCTCTATTGTCTAGCTTCGGGCCTCCTGTAAAAGCGGTTTTTGACGTTTGAGGTTCTGCATGGGATTAACATACTACTAACATATGCGCGTGTATTTGGCTCATAAAGTACCTTAAATCGTAGCGGGAAACCATGGAAACATATTGTTAAAAATGTTGAATCCAGGCTTACCATCAACAACGAAAGACATTTATGAAGACAACCAAAAGGCATGTGACCTTCATTTATGTCATCTTTTGCGTATTTTGGTCATAAATATTTGTCAAATCATCTGCCGTAGTTGTTTGGCCTACCTACATTTGGTTTTCTACTTTAATTAAGTAGTTTTTAAACGCTCAAATAAGTTTTTGCTGTTTGTGGATAACCTTTTTATTTCGTGTTCAGAACAACGAAATTGCTTTGTTCTTTTAGCCATTAAACATACATAACTTTTTTGCAACAAGAATCGTACTTAGGAAACAAGTATAAAGAATAATTTTGTGTTTTTAATTTAAATCAAGGATCACACAAGAGGTTTTTTGATAATACTTTTATTTTAGCTACGTTTCGGATGGTTTAGAGGTTTTGATAATATTTTTATTAGCTACGTTTCGGATAGTTTACTATCCGAAACGTAGCTAAAATAAAAGTATTATCAAAAACCTCTTGTGTGATCCTTGATTTAAATTAAAAACACAAAATTATTTAATTAATACATGTATGTCTATTTCTAGAGCGTGGTTGCTGCACATAAGGTAAACGGTACTCTTCAGACTATACAAGCTCTACTGATTGAGAAAGTACAGTTAGTTTGCCATATTTTTCAATAAAAAAATCATTTGCCCGTTGATATTGAATCATCCTCTTTTTCAAATCACTATCTTAAAAAGTTTTTATAATTAAAATTAAAAATCTTCTGTCACCTGGAAAATATTTTCAGAATCTGCAATTATTATTTTACAGGCTGTCTTAGATGATAATCCAGAATTACTGCGTGCATGTTTGACTACAATACAAAAGACTTTTCAGATCATGAAAACATCATTGAAACGAATTTATGGTAAGAGGAGCAGTATATTATTTAATTTGGCGTGATAACGATTTTAAAAATAAATGTTTTACCCATATTATCCGCGAATTAATGCATATGTTTTATAGCTATTATCAATACTGTATTAATATACACCTTCATAAGTTCGTCATTACCACCATCATTTTCTTCATCATCTTCTTGATCGTCATCATCATGTTCATTATCACTAAAGTCAACTTCATCATCATGACCTCTTCCCCCATTTTCAACATCATCATCTTCAACACTTTCATCATCATCTTCTTCATCGTCACTTTCATCATCATCTCCATCATGATCTGTATCACCTGAAGTTGGCTTCGGCGGCGCACTATAGGAGTTTCGGTGGCACGGTTGTCAGAGCAAGCGACTTTTACCAATGAGATCGTGGGTTTGATTCTCTCGTCGTTCATTCGGGTGAAAAGAGTCATGCTCTGCCGAAAGTCGTGGCTTTTCCCCGGGTACTCCGGTTTACTCACACAGAAAGTTGATAGGGTGAGTAAGGATAAATACTGATAACATGCAGTACAGTTAAGAAAGTAATTTCACAATTGTTGTAAGGGATAAAATACTGTATGTAATTAGGTAAGCGTATAATACTCGATGTAAAGCGCATTTGATCATATCCGCTTGAATGTTAATTTGCGCTATAGAAATCTTAATCTTAAACCTTTAATCTTAAGTTGATTTCGAATTTTTGTGTCTTTCAGAGCATTGTGATCCTGCTTTCTTTTATACGAAGCTTCGCGTATTTTTATCTGGGTATGTTTGGCAGTAAACACCTACATCTGCATAGGATATAGCCATGCATGTAAGGTTGATTAAATAAGTTTAGTGATGAAGCCAAATCCATAAGACATGACCTACGATTCCTAGGCCAGTTCGGATATATGTTCGAGTATAAGTCCACCAGTAAAAGTATGGCAAGATATGGGAACTGAAATCTAGAGCAGTCTAGGAGTGTGATTTGAAAAATTGAAGATTGAAAAAGTTTTTGCACTACAGTATATGGCGCAGATTTGAAAAAAATTTTAGTTGAAATCTCAGTTAGTGATATTTCTTTATTTTAGTTTTAGATATTCACAATAAGTATTTGATCATTCGTATAAGTTTATATAATTTGCACTGATCCGGACATATGGGTCGTGAGGTTTGCCCAATGAATAATTGTGCATGGTGTTAGAGTATAGCGATCAATTCATTATTGCATTTCAAACGGATTTTTTAAATGTTTCTTTTTTAAGGATTTATATTTCGGCAACTCAATCAACAGTGATGGTTTTAATTTGCTTGATAATTTAAAACAATGTTACGGAAACTTACGGTTTTATTTTAAATGTTCTCAATTTTTTAAACTGTACAGGAATAGCTTGTTTGTTTACATTTTAAATAATATGTTTTTAATTTATAGTTGGAAGAACAGCAAGTCACTACCCGATGGAATTATTTATGAAGGAGTGAGCACGAAACCATTAAAGGTTTGCATTATCCTACACATTAACAGCGGGGAATTTGTGGGTATGAGCGCTGATATTCGCATTGGAGGAAATGACACTTCGTTGCGAGAGAGATTTCAAAGAAACCTTGAAGTTACTGAATCGTATAACGGTCCACGCAACGCTTTAAGGCATGTAATGTAGGTTATATGTATTCAAAGAATAATAGCCGTTGCCTTCAAAGATAGGAGGTTCTAATTAAGCTGGTTTTCGCCTACGAACATCACTATATTTAGAGAAACGTTGTGTCATTTTTCTGCGCGTGTATCTGCTCTTGTTTACTGATGTGTTGGTTATTACTCGCTGGGGCACTCTGTGCCCCAGACGAGTATAGGTTTCGGCACGCATTTTTCTCCGATAATCGATCGATAGCCACAAAATAGAATATTAATGAGCTGCCTAATTTTTACCCCCATTATCCATAAGGCTCCTGCCAAGTTTTACCCAAATTATCCATAAATACCATCATTTTCCAAGAATACCATTTTTTCAAGAATTTTTCTAAATTTAAACGGGCTTAAACGAATGTAAACTTCACCTTGCGGATCGATAATTCCATGCGCTAATGTAATTTCTTCTTCTTTTTTAATTAGTTTTCAGGAGCAAGTGGATCACAGAGTACTACATTCCATGTGTTCGATGCAGTTCTTGGTATAGTGCATTCTCGGAAAGGTATGACACTTAGAGATCCTGAGAAGAAAAGTATTCATTCGCGATAAACTCATTGCTGAGTACGCCCACAACTGATGCCTGGCGATTCTTAATAAAGATTAGACACAGGGTGTACTTTCCCAAAATTGGGGAACCGAAAAACTTAAGACAGAAAATCGGCAAAATAACGACCAAAGAACCATGAATTACCGTGCATTCACACAACACGCAAGACCTATACGGTTCCTTGCGAGTTGCGGGAGACCAGGGCCGTAGGAAGCTCTTTTCGATTGGGGCGGCTGAAAGCGAGGGCCAAAGGCCCGAGGAAATTTTTAAATTTAGAGTCTCTAAAATGCCATTTCCTGGACTTTGGGGGAAGATTTAACAGAATTCTGATAGTCAGAAAACAGCGTTTTAGTATGTCGAAATTTACAGGAAAGTATGGGCCTGACTGTAGTATTATAAATGCGCGGCGGGAATTTTCGTCGTAAATGGCAGTTGCGCGGAAATGAAGGCAGAACATTTGAGAAAATTTCGAAAATCTGGAGTCTCTAGATGGTCTGAAATGGCATTTTCAGATTTTTCTTTCGCAAGACCCAACACGCAAAAGACAAAATAAATCATTAGTTCATCAAAAATGTGCAGATTTTGTGGGATTTTCTTGAAAATGCGCGACAGAAATTCAGGTAAAATTTCTACGCGAGGAACGATCTGGAGTATGAGTAATATCTTCATTCTTTGCAGTTTGTCACAGATTAAATGATAAAGTTTGCATGATTTTGAAAAAAGAATGATTATTAGCAAATTATTGGGGTTTGGAGTATGAGTAATATCTGGAGTATGAGTAATATCTTCATTCTTTGCAGTTTGTCACAGATTAAATGATAAAGTTTGCATGATTTTGAAAAAAGAATGATTATTAGCAAATTATTGGGGGGGCTGCAGCCCCCCCAGCCCCCCCCCCCCGGTTGCTACGGCCCTGGAGACTGAAATGAAATCTGAATGGGGACAACCTGCACGCAGCCAATCTGCAGGAACTCGGAAATCTATTGCCTTGGTATATTTTTCGTAGCCCATTTTTCGTGTCTTTTCGAAAAAAAACGATAATAACTCAATGAAACGCGATTTCAATTGACGTCAAGATGATACGATCAAAACCCGATAAACTGGTTTTGTCGGATATTTTACGTCGGGTTTTTTTACTGAACCGCCCCAGAGCCTATTTCAAAGTTAAGCCGGTTCGAACCCGGGTTACTTTTCCTAGTGTAAATTGGGCTATTGCTTTCTAGCCAAGTTTTCGGCTGAAAGCTGGGAAAACCTGGCTAAAACATTTATCGTAGAGCATGCAAGCAAATTTAGTCACTATAATTTGTTCAATTGCAACAAGTATAATATTGAATTTGATGATTGCCTTAGGGTGAAGCTTGGACTAAGAAAGTATAGTTTGCGAGACATATTCGCACTTGGCAAGACAAAACGTTTCTCAGACCAAATATTTTAGAAAACATTTTAGCTTTTAAGCTTTCCAAAAAAAGATATGCTTTGTTTGCAACACTATTTACAAAGATGGGCATAACAGGGCCACATTCCGTAGAATTTGCAGTCACATCAGGCTACATATATATTACCTGACCATGAAAAGCCTGAAAAAGAGCACCACCGGAAAATTAAACTGTATATCCGTAACCGAAAAACGTGGGACTAACCTCGAATTATTAAAGAGGGACTGTTTCGGGTCGTACTGTTTTACTGCTTTTATACCTACGTATATGTACTTCATGCAGTTCTGCACGTTAAAATGTTTATTTACAAATAATAAGTTTGTCAATTTATAGTACCACAAACAATTTTGGTTAAATGTGCCCCAGCCATCTTTATCGTTATCATCAATTGAACTGAATTATGCTTTTCGGTGTCTCAAATCACACATATGATCAGTGTGTATAAGTGATATCATATTTGTTATTGCCTTGCTGTTAAGGTGGTGAAAAGTCGTTTCTGGATTTCATGTTGGATTACATGCCACGCGGTCACAGGAAATTCGTACTGAATGTCCGAAAAGGACCCTCTGTCCGCAACTATGGTTTGTATATAGTTTCATACGATTTTTGATGACTTTTTAGTGTTAAATAGACTACGCTATAATTAGACTACGTTTATACAGCAATTTCAATTTCTGACACAGTTCACGGAAAAGTTGGTGAACAGAAACAAAGTGGACCCTTGTTTCACTCTGTGCAATATCGAGTCAGAGTAAGAATATTTGCAATAAGACGTAGGCCACATAGCCTTTGATGCCCATTTCAGATTCTGCATGGGGTTAGTATTCACTAGTAACCTCGTGAAGGCCTGCGCTGAAAGCTTAAAAGAGTTTTCAAACTTTGTCCCCGAGCCGACGGCGCGAAGCGCCGTGCGAGGGTACTAATCCCTCCCCCCGGCTATTTACACCCGGGAAAACGAAAGCATTATAGCGAAGTCTAAAGTTCATCAATGATCGCGGGCGTGACGAGTGGGTGGTCATCCTCACTGATCTAAAAAATATGGCTGATTGCTTGTAGGAGTGGGATAAGCAAGATTTCAATTTTAAAAGACATATATTTGGAAAATCGTTTCATATACAACAAGCTTGAAGCAATTTTGTTTCAAGAAATGTAGCCTGCGAACAGGCCCTGGGTTGCGGGCGGCGCGAAGAATAGAGGGCCTGCACGGATGATAGGTTTTCTTGGTAGTGGCGTTCGTATAGAAACGCAGGCTTCTGATTGGCTTACACTCGTTGACAAAATTACTAAAAATAGCAAATGTCAACAACAGCATTTTGAAGAATTTGAACTTTATTCATTTTAATATTATATATTATAGGACTATCGAACAAATAAAACTAGAAATGGAAACCAAAAGCAATAGCAAAGCATCACAGCAAAAAAGTCTATCATAAATGACTTGAATCTATCGCTTAAATCCAATATACGAAACTATAACAGTATTCTGAACTTCGTCTTCGGATTGACATCAGACTATAGCCGGTATAGTACATTTTGAGGTCGTCGTGGCTTCACGGATTATTCTCATTAGTGAGCAAGTCAGCAAGCGAAGGCATACAAAAGATACCCAAATATGTACGAATAATTTATATATTGTCGATCCTCGCTGGCATGTCATTTAGATAAATATATATCGTACATTAAACGTTGTACTGTTTACTGTATATTAACTGCTGACAATTTCGTCGTCGATACGGCTTCCACTATTGGCACACTCGTGATTTCGAAGAAATTAATAAATACATGCTCATTTATCATTTATTTAGACCACAGTTAGTAAAATTTTAAACGTATTCGGTATTCCAAATCCCAATCTATCTGACCGTATTTTAGTAATAGCTTCAAAATATTCAGAACATTGTTCTTTCAGTCGCACATAGTACAAGTATTACTGTACATTCAAAGCCAATGGTAGTTTATTCGGCTTTATATTTGTATGTGTATTGATATCTATTTAATATTTGAAGAATTCTATATTTTTCCGAGTAATATATTGTGCGGCCCGCTAATGCTTTGTATTATTATTGTTCATGTTGCACAATGTACACGCCTTGCGTCAATTTGACAGTTGACAGTTTATTTATCGCAGTCGACGCTGATTGGTTAGCGTTTAGCAGATGCGAAAAGGGGATGAATGAATAAAACGCATGGTTCCGTGCAGGCTCACCTTTCTCCCAGTGAGCCTGTTCGCAGGCTACAAGAAATGAGAAGAATTGATTTACTATGGGAAATCGTGAAATATACGGCAAGTTTGCTTTGAATATTTAATGTTTACGAATTTTGTTGCTTTAATTTTTTGCGTAAAAACATGAACTGTTTTCCTTTTCAACGAAGCTCTAAGTTTCATAAGATTTGAAGACTGAACTGAAATTACCTAACAATTTGTTTTATTTGTATTAAACTTATTCAGTAGCGTATCCAGTTCGACAATTTAGTCCCGCTATGGAAATATTCTCGTGTTCATTGACTGTGAAAACAATCAATTTCTAAAGAAATGAATAATGATTATTATTTTGAATTTGCATAGCTAAGCGGGACTAAATTGTCGGGCTGGCTACGCCACTGTCACTGAACTTATTATGTTTTATTAAGTAAAAACAGTGTATCGGCAAAATGTAGTTTAGTTGAATGAACATTTCAAAACATTTTACGAAGCGTTTCAAGTTAAATTTTACATTTAATAAATCAAAGCTCACAAAATGCAAAATAAAATACCTACAGTATATATTTCGGAAATTTATTGCTGTATAGTTAAAAGGACGAATCTTTCAACTATTTTGCAGTTTTGTACGAAAAATATGAAAAAATTTAAGATATCGTCACAAAATAGGAAAGTACAGCAGAAGCTGCGCTCCTTCGCCCAGCGGCTACGCTCGTATTCCAAGATCCGCCATGTAAAGTGTAGTGAAATGTATCTCATCGTAATATTAAATCCTAAGAAAACTAAAGCCTCTGCGGAGGAGAGAGCAGCAGAAGTGTAACTTGAGTCGGTGTTTACGTCCACGAAAATTTTAACTCGCTCACGCCATCCTGGCTAGTATAGCCGGAAGTTTTTATCAGGTTTTGGTAGGTACAAAGTGCCGGTTGTACTAGCCAGGATTGCGTGATTGATGACGAATCGCTTGTAAAAACGCGGACAAATACTTGCTTGAGTGAGACTTCTGGTGTACCTTCCTATTCTGTGATATCGTGTTGTCATGGCAACACTTGAGCGCGAGCCTGCGTTCAGTGTTGGTCATTTCTGAATACTTCATGTTAATTAATTTAATGTTTGGAAAATATTGGCGAGGGGTTACTGCATGCATGTATTTCTAGTTACAGTAAGTCGTTAATTCAGACACATAAAATCGCATGCAACCACACGACATTTGAAATTTTAGGAATATAGTGTTTCTAAAATCGAAAAAATCACACTAATATTGAATGGGATATTTGATCACGTTTATTCGAAACCATGCACTTATGATTTTTTTCAAACAGTCGAGAGAAGCGAAAGTGATGAACTGTTGAAAATTTACAACGACTGTGTCGATAGTGTTGTCCAGTTTCGAAGTTTTCATATCCAAGTTGTAACTAGGTGAGTGGCACCCTCAAGTATAGAATATAAATTTCTAAAGAACCGATTCACAAACACTAACTGAACTCTTTTGTTTAACGACGCCAATCACGAAACAGGTTCATTGTAACTTCCTATTTACCAGTATACAAAAACTTTGATCTGACTGTAGACCAGATGAAATTTTTACAAAATAAACAAGACATCGACATTCGACAATACAATTATCACGATAACAGCTATAGCACATCACTCAAAGGAACTGGATAATATGGTATATGGAAACAATACTGATTTCCATTTATTAAAAAATACTTCGTATCTCCAAATCTTATTTATAATATTTTATTTCTTTAAATTGTTGGGTAGAGAAGTACGTGGGCGGAAATCCGGTCAGCCAGGGGCCGCGGAACGGGGGCATGTGCCCCCTCCTTTTTTTAAAAGTGAAAAAAGTGCCCTTTTTCTGGGCTAAAGTGCCCCCATTTAAAGAACGAAAAAAGTATGTCTTGAATGAACGTCCTCTTGCTGGAAAGAAAGTGCCCTTTTTGTAGTAGTAAAGACTCTGTAAAGGCCATTTCCGACGTTATAGAGACTCCATATTTTGAACATTTTTCGTTTTGCTCGTGAACGACATAAAATCGTTTGATTTTGGTCATATACAAAAGTGCCCCTTTTGGCCAATACCACTCCACTTTCGAAATACTTCCGCGCCTCCAGGGTCTTAGCTAGAGGGCCATGTTGGCCGTGTTATCGCGGCCAAAAATGGAAAAATACGGCTAGATAAAATGAACGCGGCTTCATTATTTATATAAGGCAGTGTAGGTTCATAAAATAGGGTGTTGCTACTTACAACAGACAGAATTTCTTCCTATTTACGTCGTAAGAAAGTTTGTAAAATCTACTGTAGTTGTTGAAAATTGGCAAGGGTGATCCGTGATGTTTTAATGTTTTGATGGATAATGGGAACCATATGGTGTTAAAATGGATTTAAATACCCCCAAGAGTTGCCGAAATAACTTAATATTCTAATGTCAGTGCGCAATGTGAGCGTATGCTTACCTTGTATTTGGTTGCAAAGCATAGAACAACCACAGGCATTGTCTGTTGTTGGCGAGGATAACTAGAACGGCGTGAATTTGGCTATTCAAGGTAATTGACATGGGCACACCCTGGTCATTTAGAAACACGCCCAAGATCTAAAATCCTAGCTAAGACTCTGGCGGCCTTTGCGGTCAGCGCGCTACCTCGTGCCGCCGAGTGTTAAGTCTACTACTGTACGTACGTCGAGGATAGGGGATTTAATTAATTCCCTGTACTTAAACATTCATGTAAGTGGAGTTTGATTGGTTCTCTCCTGTGCTTCGAGAATTTTATTCTGAATCCTGCTGTTTTCCTCCTTCACCATGACGACTTCTTTTATACCTTCGTTAAGGCCATTTTCCATTGCGCAACCTCGTTCCCAGGGCTTTTCCCTTTTTGTATCTGCGAAGCAGATATATATGCTATCGCAAACGTGCCGTGACCGTACCGTATGTTAACACATAGCCATTCAGCGACGAGCTTATATAATTTAAACCAATTTAAGCCAATCAGCGATTCGTTTACATCAATTGTTTACGTCGTTCCCGCATCTAACCTGCGAACGGGCATTGTTTCGCATCGTGTAATTCGTGTTATTCTTTGCCATTTTCACATTTTGGCTCCAAAAATATGTTGATTTTGTCTTGTTTTCACCATTCTACTTGCGATATTTATATTCCGAAGTTATCTATCAACATGGAAACTTATCCTCATCTGGTAAGTAGTCAAATACCACATATTTTCATATTTTATTATATACATTTATACAGTAAAACAATCATTGTGTATTAATATTTTAAACAGTCAAAACATAGCAGGCAATGTATTTGCCAATGAACAATACTACAGGAAACCAATGTTCTCAGGAGATATTGAATTAAATCCTGGTTCTCTATTTTTAGAGTTTATAATTAGACAAAATTTTTACAAACATTTTCAATTCATTTTCAATTTTCAAAACATTTTCATAATTTCATTGTCATTTTGCTTTCTAACATAAATGTTTTTGCTTAGAGATTAATACAAGAATGATGAATAAATGTACTGGATATTGGATGGATAATTTTGTCAGAATAACAGCCACTTGCAAGACAATCTTATCTAAATTCATTAGTATGGAAAATAACTTGACAGCTACAATAATTATATATTAGTTGATATTATACGGATGGATCAGATCAATGGCACACAATATATGTACAAAACTAAACTTGTGATATCTTCTACTCAAACCGATATGCTAGCTGTGTCAAAGTGAACAGTGTCTTATATCATTAACTGTGTACAGGATTGGAATTGAATTATATACTACACTTATGACCTTCAAAATATTCTCTACTATTCAGTGTTCTTCGACTATGATTGACTCATTGCTACAGTAATGCATGTTCCTCCACTCAAATAGTTTGTGTATGTTACTCAATAGTTAACGTTGCCAAGTGTAAACAACAAGTGACAGAACTTTTGTTTCATATGACTACAATAAAGTTTTGAAAATTTGATATGTATGGAGATTGACAAGTGACAGTTTACTAAATAGCCTGCTGTATAGACACTTCGAATATTGTTTTCATGAAATTTTTATTCCTGACTGCATAATTATCCATTACAATCATAATCACATTATAAAATCAGTTAAATTTTCTTGGCGGTGGCAGAGGGGGGGGGGGTGTAGTTGCCCTTCTCAGTAGTGGGGTGGGGGAGTTGCCCCTGCTGCCCTCTGCACTGTATACAGCCCTGTTAGATGTGTATTATGTTTGACTTTAAAATCCTATTTGCTATTATATTATAATAAGTGATGAAATATTTCAATTGTCCCCTGTCATCTTCATTATTCAGTTCCTTTCAAGAAAATACAAAATGTGAATCAAGTTTTTTCGCAGATACATGTACGCGTCGCGTACCTATTTTTGTCATTGGGAAGGCGGGAAAAGGCCCTGGCACAACCTATGGGCACAACAGGTGGGAAAATTGACTGAGCATGCGCGAAAACTGCTCGGGTTTTCAGCGGGAGAAGACGATATGCGTGCTTCCACTTGATTGATTTAAAAAACATAAACAACATGAACGAAGCCTTCGAAAGACAATTTTGCAGCGGCTGTCTAAGCCCACAAATCACCACAAAAATTGGATTTACTGACAAAAAATGTTGCAGTAATACTTTGATATCCTCTATTGCCACATATTGTACAATGTAAACTATTAATATCGATTATTTCATTGCAAAACAAAATAGAGCAAAAACTTTCCTTTTAAAATGTCGTCTGATAGCTTCATAAAATGTCAAATTCAAACCAAAAATACTAAAACTTCTTCATTTTTACAAAGCCAAGAAATTTAATACCGACTTAAAATGCTTTGAAATTTAATGTAAAACAGCGATATTTCGTTGGCACAACCTGTAACATGACAAAATTTGTGTTTATAGAATTTTGAACGAGCGAAAATTGTGTTTAAAAATAATACCATGTTTACTATATGAGATAAGAAATATTATGTTTAAAATCATGACTGGCAAATTAGCATGTGCGAATTGATGCTTCACACCCCAGTAAAGCTTGCATGCTTCAATCTTGCTGTTACCATCTGCACATTATCAGGGTGGAGAATTGATTTGAATTTTTGGTCCCAAAGAATAAATGTAGAGAATAGATTTTCCATCACAAAAGGGGCAAGGTGCCCAACCAGTTAGCAAGACGGCATGTACTTTAATGGACCATGCATTATACCCTCGGGTGGGGTGGGAGATTCTTGTGTCAAAATGTCATGGGACCCCCTTTTTTAATCTCTTAATAATGGAGACCCCTCCTAAATATGTAAGACTGTATAACATGATGCAATTCTAATCTTCATTCGTGTGAATGCCTGACTGTGAAGAAAATACATTTTGCAACATACACTATAAGAGCTAGAATGATTGCTTCCTTTGGATGATTTGTCTTGGAATTATATTATCTCTATTACAACAATTCTTCCTATACTGAAACCAGTTGCTATTCTGTTTTTACAACACAACCCTCCCCCCACAAAAAAAAAGACTCGACAAATCAAGGACCCCCTCCATTTGTTCCCACCCTACCCTAGTGTATAAATAATGAATAGTCCCTAAATTGGGATATTGTGCCAGCAAAATATATTTAATTTGATGGTAACTGTTCTGAGAATATATTAATTTAACTCATCGAGTGGCAGCATTCTCCCCTTGGGGAGTGGGGCACATTGCCACTATAAAGGTTAAACAAATTAATAAAACTTTTGCAATGGTCTATTCAAAAATCTCTATTTGTAAATTTTAATCGACTTTTATATACCTACTTATACTTATAGCTACCTTGCCCCAGTCACTTCAAGTTAATTCTACGGGAGAAGCACTGAGCTATAAGTGGGGAGAAGGGGGAAATTGCAAATCCCTGGGTTTACTTGGTAAATGTAATAATTGAACCATGCATTACATGTATATGTAGAGCAGTTTTAAATATAATTTTATCATGCAAAATCCTTGATAATTGTTTCTTAAACGTCTTTGGCTTAGAATGGGTACACTGTCCAAAGGTGTTTATTTACAAAGGTGTAAATATACATGTCCAAAAGTATATTTACACCAATGTATATAATTAATTTACTATAAAGCAATGTATATAATTAATTTTTATTAAATAAAATGTGGAATATTTTACAAATTGCATTACCATCCCAAAGTGTACATTATTATCAATATAATTAGGACTTACTCACATGAGTTTGACTCTGACCCAGCACCCTTGGCTAGCTACTTTGCCAGATCACAAGTGGAAAACCTTCACCCCCTTTGACAAATCAGTCCAGATCCGCCCGAGAGGCAGGATTTTCTGGAAAATTATTGGCAGTAAAGTGAAATTGTTGCATATTTTCAAGCATGCATTATTGCATTGTAACCTGATTTTCAATCAAGCGCGTTTGCAGATCAGACATTGTGGCAATGGCAAGATCTAGCCTGGACGCATATGAATACAATCTTAAAATGTCATAAAAACAATGCAATTCAAGGCCAGATTGCCAGCCCAACTCCTGCAAACAGCCCTTTATTACACATTCGAAGCATCCCTTGAGGCATCAAACACAATCAAGCTGGAAACGGTGCTTTGATATATACATTATGTCTGATGTCTAAAGACACCTGCACTTTCATATTGAAATTGTTTTAAGGGACTGGTCATAAAGTAACTGCTAGGGTGGGCTGTACAGGTAAATCACAAATTTTGCCAATAAGTTTGGTGACCCATCTTATAGGATGTTGATAAAAATTTCAAAGCCCATCTAATCCTACCAAATTTATTTCATGACCCACCCACCCAATCTAAATTGGGAAAATACAATTTTATAATAAAAAAAAACTTTTGCAGGTATGAATATTGTAAATATACTCCGGCACTGTATTGACATACATAATTCCACCAAGCTTGACCAACACATTCATCACCAATTACGATATTGAGCTGCTCTCCATTTGGTTGTATTTGCTGTGATTCTACCACTTCTTGTTGTTGTATAAAACAAAGTACTGGCTTCAATAGCATCATTTGCATTTGATAATATGGAGAGTTTTGTTCATTTTATTATTAATATCTTTATGTAATATATAATTAACATGGGTTTTGTTTGCTGGCCCAACCCTGGAGATACCAATAAATTGGAAGCCCATCAAACTGCCCAAAGATTTTCCATGGCCCATCTCAAATCACTCCAGCCCTCCCTAACAGTTACTTTACGACCGGTCCCTAATATCATCAAAATAAAACACATCAGAAAACTGTAACATCAGCATCAAGAATACCCACTTATTACGACGGTCAACCCAGTGTTCTCCAATATGCTATAGGCCCTGTGTTCCTTCATTGGGATGGAAGTTGTTCGACCTATCAACATTTCTTTTCACACTTACGAACAAAATTTGATAGCAATATGAACACCGAGGTGAGCCTTTGTGACCTTGTTATTGGTTCCGATGAAGAGAAAGCTATCTTAAAAGCAATCGAACAAAGCAATCGAACAAAGCTTTCCAAGTGCCACACAACTTCTTTGCCTGCGCTACCTTGAAGAGAATGCCCGCCGTCATTTACAGCAAAAAAATGAAATCTCTTCGATCTTTGGGAAAGATGGACTCATAAATAGTAAGGATCTCGTAGATTTGAACTTACATACCTTCCTTTATCGAACACGATTTTAGACGTTTCTCCTAACTTTGTGACATATTTTGAAAAATCTCTCGTGACACGGCTACAAGATCATGTTTTCAAGCCAAAGATATCAGAAAGCTGGATACCTTTAAACTGGACTAACAATAATTGTGAATCGATTAACAACATTTTAAAGCTATCTACCAACTGGAAAGCCTAAAAAATATATATGTATATCTTAAAATGTATACTCACTTGGATTACAAACCCTAACATTCTAATATTAATTCCACCAAATGAAGTGCAAGAATCCAAATCATTGAAGTCCACCTTATCACAACCCGATTACCTATATATACATGAACTTACGGTTACAGCTCAACAGCTGGCCTCTGTAGCTCAGTTGGTTAGAGCGCTGCACCGGAATCGCAGGGCCGTAGGTTCAATTCCTACCAGAGGACCTTGTGCTGCATTTTTCGCAGTCGTTCCTGGTTAGGTCTTAAAATGTATATATACTCACTTGGATTACAAACCCTAACATTCTAATATTAATTCCACCAAGTGAAGTGCAAGAATCCAAATCATTGAAGTCTTCCTAAGTTAAAACACTTGGTCGTGCCAAACTCAGTGTGGAGTCAGAAGAATGATGCTGAAAAGAACAAGCAGTTTCAAAAACTTTTAACTTTAAAAGCTGCAAAAAAAGAAAACTGACAATATTCTCAACTGATGGTGGTTTGCAAATTCCAACAACACCCAGTGTTGCAGTGACGGAAATCTTGGTGGGGCGTGGGGGCGACCGACCCTCCCCCCACCTTTACGGAAAATGCCGAATTTTCGGAAATTTTGACCGGGGGGGTTTGTCGGAAATTTGAAAGTTCTGTCGGAAATTTAGGAGGCTTTGCCCCCCCCCCGGAAAAAGTGAATTTCCGCCACTGCAGTGTTGCAAGAAAACCTGGGCAACGCAAGCGTGTCCGAATAGACCTTTACCCTTATGAGTGAAATTTTGATCTAGATATGCCTGCACAAAAAATTCATCACAGCTTGAAAGAGCATCACAAAATTAGTAATATTCCGAAGTTTCGTTGCGAGATGTTGTAAAATGCGGATAATATAGCCTTGCGAAGTTTGCCGTTTTTCAGTCATTGTGTATAACAAATGGAAATTGGTAATCAGTTTGATCATCTGATTATCAATTTCCCGTTTGTAATGCAAAATGACTGAAAAACGGCAAACTTCGTAAGGCTATATATTATCCGCATTTTACAACATTTCGCGACGAAACTTCGGAATATTACTAATTTTGTGATGCTCTTTCAAGCTGTGATGAAATTTTTGTCCAGACTTCTCTAGATCAAAATTTCACTCAAAAGGGGAAAGATCTATTGCAAGGACGAACAGCATAAAAAAAAGAAAACTTGATTGACTTTAATGTAGTTAGGGTAATGACTTATAACCATATAGCTGGTAAATTTTTATATGTACATCTTTAAAATATATAAACTTGTACAGTCATGTATTATATATAGAAAATTATGTCATTAATATACTTAGTTTTCTACAATGTCTTAATTATAATAACATCACTTGGGTACGAGGTTGCCTACTGTACTGTGTATAGCCTGAACATCTGTGGTCCAATGATGGACCCAGGCCAAGGCCAAACCATCCTCAGTCCCTTTCAAACCAAAATAGTTTTTGTCGTTTTCCTCCATCATTTTACTTATTATATTTGAAATAATCTTTGACAAGTTTTATTTGAACTTGTTGCCTCAGCTCGATCTGTCAACATCATTGACATGCTCAACATGGGCCACCAACATTACGTAAATAAAATAATCAATTTACAAGTGAAGATTGCATGATAATGTACTTGTCATTGACCAATCAGAATACATAAAAGTTTTCCCGCCTTCCCAATGACAAAAAGTCCATGGACAAGGGTCCATTGCGGTCGCTTTGCCCGCGCGGGCGGAGCGACTCCAATTGAAAATTGCCTTTACCGAACAGTGAACCATGCATTTAAACCCTCATCAGCATACTATTATAAACTATTCTAATAATAAATTGACTAAAAAGATGTTTTGTATCTTCCAATTTTATTTACTATTTTGCTTTAAGTTAATTAAATTGTTAACCAATTTATAAAAATCGTATCAACATAAATTCTTGTTTCAATTATACAGATATGTTACAATTCAAGCGACCAAAGAAAAAAAACATAACGAACCCGTTAAAAACAAACTTGTATACGGCACGGGAGGTACAGGTAGGCCATGTTGCATACCCTTGTTTGTTTTTGTTCTATATAGGTTATCCTTGTCAGTCGCATATACTGATATAGCTGCAGCGGATTGAAAACTAGAAATACATGCATGCAATAACCCCTCGCATTTTCAACCAAACAAACATATATAGTCCCTAAAGATTTTTTCAAAACAACCATTAGTTCCTCATGCAAAATATGAAATTTCAGTTTTTAAAAACAAAAATCAAAAGATTTGTTTTAAAAATCAAGTTTGGCAATTTTGTTCTAATTTGTTTTAACATGAAGTATATAGTTAATTATACTTCCAAATTCGTGGCTGCCATGTTGTCCATGCATAGTAACACTATATCATCTCCCCCCCCCCCCCCCCCCTATATGCTATGCCTATACAGGGTGTCTAAAAAAAACGCTATGGGAATTCAACAGGCTGTCGTGCATCATAAACGTGGCTAAACAATTCAATTTTTATATAGTTCGAAAGAACAGTTATTTAGCTTTTGAATGATACTCTTTTTAAATCGTAACGATGAGAAATGGCCACATACTCGTCAAATACAAATTGCCGGTCGAAAGCACATTCTTCCACCGTTGGGAATTACAATTGGAAAACGAAACATAAACAATTCCCAAGAGGGAATTAAAATTGAATGTTAAATTATCTAAAATAAGCTCAACTCGTCAATCTTCGTCTTGGTGGGACCATAAGAACGTCATTATTGCATTAAACATGGTTCAATTATTAACCCCTGAACAGAGAACATTCGTAATCAAAACGTTTTGCGAAACAAGTAGCTACGTTGCAGCAGACTCGCGGTGCTTTCGGATTGATTAACTTTGCATAATTAATGCGGTATTTTCAATTCCCAACGGTGGAAGAATGTGATTTCGACCGAAAATTTTTATTTGACGAGTATATGGCCAATTCTCATCGTTACGGTGTAAGAATTATATCATAGAAAAGCTAAATAACAGCTCTTTCGTCCCATGTAAAAATTGAATTGTTTAGTTAAGTTTGTGATGCACAACAGCCTGTTGAATTTCCATAGCGTTTTTTTTAGACGCCCTCTTAGGCATCAGTCAGCTTAGGAACTGGATCCGCCCCTGTAGGTATATGTTATTAGAAACTCAATAAACACTATTTTATGTAAAATTCAACCTCAAAAATGTTTCAGATGTTCATATACAGCCATGGGCGTACCGGAAGGAAAAAATTAGGGGGGCGGAAAGAAAATTGCCCGACCCCCCCCCGTCGCCAAAAAAATTTCGGTCAGTGTACCATTTTAGGGGTCAAAAAAAGTTTCCGGATAACCAATATTTTTCGGAACATACCACAAATTTTCGAAAAATCACAAAATTTGCCAAAAAATTGACTTAATTTTAAACAAAATTGACAGAATTTGTCCCATTTTTTTTTATTGCAAACCAAAACTGCCCGACTGTTGATCGAATATTGCCCGACTGCCCAAAAAACTGGGGGGGGCTACCGCCCCCCCCCCCGCCCCCCCGCCCGGTACGCCTATGTATACAGCGCCTGCTTTTTGCGAGAATCGCCTTCGCCTTTGAAATGAAGTATTTCTGCATTCCTTCGAGTTTTTTTAAAAATAAAAGGTTATTTTAGAAAAATCATAGCTCAGTATATAAGAAAAAATTTTAAAGCGACAAATATACAATAAAGTAAATTTTGAAACGAACATATAAACAGTTTACCTTGCATGAATAATCCATTTTGCCCACTATAATATACGCGTGTACATGTTTTCTTGTTATTTCTATTTAATACAAATATACGGAAGACTACAAGAAATACAAATAATATAATGAAACACTGAGTATGAATTAAGGCGAGAACTGCATGTGATTGCCACTATTAAAATGTCTGGGAACAGGTTCGTTAGCATTATATTGTTGCCAACGACAGCATGCACGCCATAAACCATAATGTTATGGAACTAATCTAGTTACTAAAACAAGGAATCACCTAAAACGACCTAAAACCATCCAAAACGACCTAAAACCATCTAAAATGTCCTAAAACCATCTAAAACCATCTACAACGACCAGTAAAATGATCTATAACCATCTAAAACGACCTAAAACCATCTAAAACGACCTAAAACAATCTAAAACGATCTACAACAACCAGTGAAATGATATAAAACGATCTAAAATGGCCAATAAAACGATCTAAAACGGCCAATAAAACAATCTAAAACGACCGAAACTATCTACAACGACTGATAAAACGATTTATGAAGCTACCTAAAACGATCTGCATATCAACAGCTCGTAAAACCACCTAATAGCAAAAATGTTATAATGTTAAAGTCATATACCCATAGTCATAGAACTATATCTTGGTAAGAATTAAATCAATTTAAGGTGGCTGCATACAGTTTCTCGAAAAGTGGAAAAGACACATTTCAGACCAAAAAATTTTGTACATTGATATTTTTATACAAGAATGAAATCAGATGTCATGTATACAACAGTATTTTGAGAATCAGAAACTGTATAAACTGAAAAGTCCGTAATTGTGGTCACTATGGCAACAATGGCATTTCAAAAAATGGCTGCTAATTTGCATTTAAACTAGTTTAATTCGAAAACAACGTCGGTGACCCCCAATTTTTATTTTATTAAAAGTTTTTTTTTCCAGTATGAGCAATCATCAGGACAATTTTTAAAAAATTCTGTAGATCCAAAATTTTTCAATTAAATTTTAATGCAAATTAGCAGGCATTTTGAACGTCATTGTTGCCATAGCAACCATGGTTACGCATTTTTTGTTACAGTTTCCTGCTCTCAAAAATCAAAATGCTGTTCCATTTAGTTTCATTCCTCTAACAAAATATCAATGAACACTAAGATTTTGGATCAGAGACGTGTGTTTTCTACTTTTCAAGAAACTGTATGGAGCCACCTTAAATGCAACACAACTAAAGAGTTAATAAGGAGCCCCATAGGCATAGGTGACAATTAAATCCATTTCACGATTTTCTTGTTAGTTTTACCACATGTGTTTTACCGTTTTAGATCGTTTTATTGGTCGTTTTAGATAGTTTTAGATTGTTTTACTGGTCGTTGTAGATCGTTTTAATATAATATAATATAATATAATAATAATTTAGGTCGTTTTAGATGGTTTTAGGTCGTTTTAGATAGTTTTAGGTCGTTTTAGGTGATTCCTTGTTTTAGTAACTACGATGGAACCAAACCAAAGACCAAACCCTCTTCAAAAATCTTCCAGTTTCCCCAATATAAAGCATGCCACATCTATACTGCATGATGTGGCATGCTTTATATTGTATATATGATTTTTTATATTGTATGATGACGTTATTACGTATAATACATCGATATCAGTCATACAACTTTGTGATATATACTAATCATTGATTATTGTACATTTTATTTTCAAGAGTATATGTCATTTCTTAAAAGAGTACGGAGTGAAACGTCTGAAGTCAAGATAAGTTAAATGGAACAATGAATTGATGCGCATATCTGTTGAAGCAGATTAGTACTGAAATATTGTGTTTGTTTTCAAACCGGCATTAATCAGTGACTTTATATATAGACATAGTATACTATCCTATGATTTTATACCAACAGTGCTATACGGAGATTATTTCATTATACACTAATACAATTCATTCATTGTTTAAATCATTATTTTTAGTATCTACAGGGTGTATAAAAAAAACTGAACCCTTTCAAATTCAAATTAGCTATAACGTATTGTAGTAATTTGACAGCTCTAGTTGCCTTGAATTAATGGTTGGGTAAGAACACAAGGAGCTGTATTTCTTTTAAATTTTGTAATTTTTATTTCGTTGAGTTTTGTTCCATGAGTACAAGACCTAGTGTTCTTATCCAACCATTAATTTAAAGCAATTAGAGCTGTCAAATTACTACAATACGTTATAGCTAATTTGAATTTGAGAGGGTTCAGTTTTTTTTATACACACTGTATAGCTACATCTAAAAGACTAAATATATAACATTGACAAATCGTATATTTCTATAGTCTATATAGGTGACCATAGGTAATTGTTTTAACAATGCTTCCAGGACAAGTGGAGCCCATGTCAGTCATTAATAAAAGTGATAACCTTTCATAAATAGGTATTATACTTTGACCGTGCTCCAACATGAGTATGAGTGCAGCATGAACTGGATTGAATATCTATTGACAGTATTGACTATATATCGTTCTAATGAATTTTAATTCAGCAAGTTACACGCATGCGCAAATTTTCCTATTCAGGCGCGCTTGTCGTTTGCTCGCCGCACACGAGAATTTTTTTGTCAGGAATGACGAAAAATATCAAACATGTTTGATATTTGGTTTACATGTCACGAATGACGAAAATGCCGTAAATGTTGCCCGCACACGAGGAAATTTTGTCGATCCAACTTGTCACGAATAACAAGTACGCGCAACAAGTGCGCTCGTGTGCGGCGGGCTTTAAATTCACACGCCCTAGCTTTAAAAGGGCGTGTGAATTTAACAAGTCACATATTATTAGCACTGATGAAGATCCGGGCTTACGGATCGAAAGTTTTGCAGCAATAAATGTACGTGGTGTTTTTCCACAAACAAAACTATTATATGTTTCGACTATATTTGTCTATATTTCCGTCATCATCAGGATAAAGAAATGTATATAACAATAATACGAAGCATTAGCAAGCCGCACGATATATTAAATATAGACTCCAGATAATATATTACGAGTTAATCTATACAGATTCAAATTAAAAACCGAATAAAATACTACCATTGAATGCAATAATAATTGTACTACTTGTGATTGAAAGAACAAAGTTCTGAATATTTGAAGCTATTAAAATGCGGTCAGATAGATTGGGATTTGGAATTAGTGGAGCCGTATCGTATGTCAAATGAGAACTGAAGTGAATACAATATCGTTTTTATTAAACTTAAACAAAACCAGCATTGTTCAGGAAGTTAATAATATGCAGTAAGCTTATTAAATAATTTACAAAATTGTCAACAGTTAAATAGTATACAGGGTGTATAAAAAAAAGGTAATCGAACTTCAGCGCGCTATTATACGTGAATCACTCGGCGTATGAACAATTGGTTTTCATATTCGGAAAGATCAGGCTTTTAGCTATTGAATGACATGCTTTTCATACCAAGTGGAGAAAACATACCTAATTTTAAGAATTTTTTTATCACTGCACATTTTTGTGCAAAGTGAAGCTAAGTTTAGCCGAGCAGAAGCACACCCTGAAAATTTCCGAACATGATTATGGGGGTCCGGAGGCATTTTCCCCGGGAATATTTTGAAATCTGATTTCCTAGAAATGGCCAAATCCTGCATTCTGGAAGTCTAATTGACAGTTATAGCTATGTATATTAAACTGTAATTCTTTATTTGCCCCCCCCCCCTTTAACTGGAGCCCCAGGGAATATTGCCCCGCCCTCCACCCCACTGGGAAGCCTTGACAGCACCTGCAGTTACGACTATCTGTGACAGCATGGTTTCATTCGAAGTATGTACTGTAGGTATGTTGTTCTGCATTTTGTGAGCTTTGATTTAATGTAAAATTTAACGTGAATCGCTTCGTAAAATGTTTTGAAATGTTCATTTTAATATTAAACTATAAACTGCTTTTTCCGATATAAAACTGTACGGGTTTTTATATAGTTTATAAAACAAAATAAGTTCAAATTGTTGAGTAATTTCAGTTCGGTTTTCAAATGAATTTGCTCTCCTTTACATTTTACCTTTTATTCTTAAATTAAACAGGGTAATTTAGCAAACTTTAATACAGCTTCATTGGGAAGAAAAGCAGTGCATGTTTTACGCAATAAATTAAAGCAACAAATTTCATAAACATTAAACATTCAAAGCAAACTTGCCCTATATTCCACGATTTTCCACAAAAGGAAAGCAGTGCATGTTTTACGCAATAAATTAAAGCAACAAATTTCATAAACATTAAAGATTCAAAGCAAACTTGCCCTATATTCCACGATTTTCCACAGTAAATAAATTCTTCTCATTTCTTCAAACAAAAATTGCTTCAAAGCTCATTGTGTGAAACGTGATTTTAACATTCAAAGCAAACTTGCCCTATATTCCACGATTTTCCACAGTAAATCAATTCTTCTCATTTCTTCAAACAAAAATTGCTTCAAAGCTCATTGTGTGAAACGTGATTTTCCAAATATATGCTTTTGAAAATTGAAATCTTGCTTATCCCACTCCTGGCAAAATAGCCATATTTTTGAGATCAGTTAGGATGACCACCCACGGTTGGTGACCGACGCCCGCGCTCATTGCTGAACTTTAGACTTGGCTAATGCTTCCCTTCCCCGGGTGTAAATAGCCGGGGGGAATTAGTACCCTCGCACGGCGCTTCGCGCCGTCGGCTCGGGGATAAGGCCAAATTTCATTTTTTTGAAAAAAGCCAAAAAAGAGCCAAACCTTATCAATATTTTCTACTTACATTGGTCAGGTTATCTCTACTCTAGTACTCTCTAGGATTAGAGAAGTGCAGTATGTTGATAGATAAAAAATTCAAATTTTAATTAAAGCAAATTTTGTCATTTTTCGGGATGGACCTCTGCAAAGACAAAGCTGCAATGTTGTCATTGGTTAGTTTTTCAGCTTTACGATTGGCTGAATTTCCTGAGATCTTATTGAGTGTCAATAAAATTAGGTTATCCTCTGTCAATGATACACAATTCTTACATGTTGCTTTATGGTTTAACATTCCTTCATAATAAATTATACTAAAAAATAGTGAAAATTCCTGTTACTTGATAAAAAAGCCAAAATAGAGCCAAAAGGCCAAACATTTTTTTCAAGGCCAAACAAGAAATAAAAAAGCCAAAATCGAGTTATTTGGCCGCAAAAAGGCCAAGTTTAATAGATCGAGCATCAACAACATAATTATTCGTTAATTAAATTAGGCGTGAATTTCCGGTTTCGGTCGTTTCCGGTTTCGGTCATTTCCGGATTCGGTCGTTTCGGTTTCCGTTCTTGACAGAGACCCCATTTTCTTTAAACCTTGCCACATTCGACACAAATATTTCATTTTACTTTATTTTTTATTATTTCTATAGGTAGTAAATGTATGCTATCAATAACCATTACAAAGTGGAAATATTTCTTTTATAAACCTGATACATATTTAGGTTTAAATAAATCTCCAGGGGCATTTATTTATATCAACAGTTTCCCTGAATAAATTTCTCTGCAGATTCTAGAGCACCCTGTGTTTCTTGGTACTTCACCAACTCGCATGCCTTGCTAAGATCTGCCCATTCAAAACCAGTGTGCTCCTCCGACAACTTAACTTCATACTCTTGATCAGTCAGCTCTGCGAGAAAATAGATGACTTTCTTCACTGCACCATTAACTGGATATTCCAATTCAACTTTAAAATCTTTTGTCAACTGTAAAGAATGGACCTCTAAGCCTGTCTCTTCTCGTGTCTCTCTGTAAGCCGTTTCTTTGTCACTTTCACCTAACTCGACATGCCCTTTTGGTGGCGTCCAGTGATGGCTACCATAAGCTTGCAAAAGAAGATATTCGACAGGATTGTTTAAAACACAACGAAAAATTATCAAACCACATGAACGCTCTTCACATAAGGCCATGTTGATTTCATGAGCTTTGTGTAAAGCAATATGTTTCAATGTGAAAGTAATCATTTTCGAAATGGAATTATGACCATCCTCTTCGGAAATGAAACTTTCGATTTCGATTTATAATAGCTTTATTGGCATGACCTTAAGTTACAGGTATGCAGCTAAAGCATAATAATCTAAATATAAATAGTCTAAATATAGTAAAAAGGTAGAAATTCTAAGTTTACAAATGCCAAAGAAGTACATGCATTACAATAACTACAGTCAATCCCAATAACAAATACCAAATAAGATCTATTTACAAGATATAGGAAAAATTTTCATTCAACTTTCTCAGATTAGAGAAATAGTATGTTAATAATTAATTGACAGCAATCCCAATTTCAAGGCATCTATTTCTTTCCGTAAAACAGAAATAAATATATTTCGACAGAGATAAAATAATCCCTTGTTCTGTAGATTTCATTACATCTACTATACTGATTGTGTCTGATCTGTGATAATGGTTAACTTGTTTCTGAGAGTGGTGTAAAAATTCTCTCTTTGGTTGCTGTAGGCTTCACACGAATTGGCAAAATGGTATTCATCTTCCACTTCCCCTGACTGGCAGATTTCACACAGTCTTTCTTCCCTTGGTATTTTTTGATAGCGACCTAACTCAATCATTAATTTGTGGTTGCTCACTCGAAATTTTGTGAGTGTTTTCCTTTCGGTTGGATTTTTTATTGTTGAAAGATATTTTTCTAGTTGGTATTCTGTTATTTTGAACGTGTTGTAAAACTTTAGTTTGGAGGAGTTTTCGAGTTTGTGTTTCCAGAAAGTAAGATATTTTTGCTTTATGTTATTATTGATAAAGCTTAGTGTTGAATCGTGATTGATTCCATGCAAGTCTGTTATTTGTGTGTTGCAGTTATATCCATAATATTTCCATAGAACGAGGTAATTCTTTTGGAGTATAAGTCTTTTGAGATAAGAAAAGCTTGTTTGGCAAGTGCCTCTTCAGGTGGTGAGTTTAGATGAGTAATGTATTTGAATAGTCGCTTATAAACATTGATTATCAGTGGAAACTTTCCTAGTTCACCTCTGCAAGCAATATTTGTTGTTTTCCTCCCCACACCCAGGTATAGTTTGCAAAATCTCAAATGTGTTTTTTCAATCTGAGAGTTATCCCAATTGTTAAAGTCATTTTTTATATAAGCACCCCACACTTCTGAGTTATATAAAATTGAAATATTATGGTATCATGAAATATTTTGATAGCTAGTTTTTGGTTTAGATTGTGTAGATTGAGATGTCTTCTTACATGAAGGGCACTTTCACCATAATCGTTTCAACTTACCCCAATATCTTTTTAAAACCACTAAAAGTCAAATTATAAATAAGTTGAGTTATTTTCAAGTATATGCCGAGTATAGAAACAGAAAAAAAGTCTTAATTTAGAAACTGACTTCTGTTTACAGTCAATTTCAACTTACTTTTCACTCAAATGTTCCGAGGTTCATAATGAAATTCACAAACAGGTTTGTAAACTGGGCATTTGATTGGCTGGTCTGATGTAATAGCCAATCAGAGGCTTTGTTTACAAACCTGTTTGTGAATTTCATTATGAACTTTTGAAATTGGCAACGAATTTGCGAAGTTCGGAACATTTGAGTGAAAAGTAAGTTGAAATCGACTGTAAAACGATTTCTGTTTGAAATAAGACGAACTAGTAAAAACTATTTCTATACTTTGAAAGTCGGCCGGCGTTTCCGTAGTTTCCATGAATAACATTTTCGTTCAAAAATAACTTAATTTCCTGCTAATTAATACCGGATAACCGACTGTATAGTTAACAATTATACCATGAGCTCGAGTCGTATATGAGCTGATAGCCAACGAGGGCGTAGCAACGAGTCGGCTATCAGCCATACGTAACGAGACGAATGGTATAATTGTTCAGTATAATATAGTCTATAATAGCCATTAACTGAAGCAATAATTAATTTTCCTCTGTTACAATGTCTTGACAATTTGTTCGGCCAAAAACCGCTTGGCCTTGAAAATTTAAAATACTTTTGTTTTACAACTCGAAGACGAAGTGAAAGAAATGGTTTTAGAACCGGTATATCTCACAGAAAAGCTCAGATATATTATACGGCAGATGTTTGGTAGTATAGTAAGTGCTTGTTGACTGCAAATTCAGTTTGTCTTTCGTTGCAAACTTTTCTGAACAATTTATATTCTCAATGGACAATGAACATGTTTTTTTCGCTGTTGTTTCGGTATTAATCAATTCTTTAAAAAACTTGTCTTTAAACTGATTACTATGCAATAAATGTATTTTGTTAACCTGTCAAATTTTTTTGGGAGTTTTTCCTTGTACTATTATCTTTCTCAAAGCGAATATTTTTCTTTTTTCTGCTTCGCAAAACTCAGTCATGTAGTTTTTGGACCGCCATCTTGTTTTTCGCTACTCGCCGTATATGTAGAGTTCACTCAGAGGAGTTCACTGATATGAGCTGATATACGGCGAGTAATTGAACCAATCAGATTACAGAACAGCTAATATACGGTGAATGACTATATTATAATGATAGATTCACAATATCACGGAACATCTCTCCTGGCCAACGATTATGGGGTACCTTTGAAAAAGTTTTGGCATCACTGGAACACCTTGACTGACCATTTTATCAAATTGACGGCCGCATGCAATCCACGCCATAATCATGCAGGCAAATTTTTTGTATCTCACTCGATATAACTAATATTGCTATATAGTTAGTGTCAAAGTTCAATTTTTCTGTTTGCCGATTGGTCAAAATCGTGTTACGTGCCGGTCCACAAAACGTCATGTTCGGCAACAGGTCCGCAATCAAACCACTGAGAATCAAACATTTATTGACCGGTCAATAATAAAATGGGTGCAATACGCATGCATGCGTGTCAACCGCGAAGTTCCAAAGTTCATTTTTTTAAACTTTTTACTAAACCTTTACGCCGTTCCATTAAATTTACCCAGTTTTGGTTTTAAATTAAGTTGACTCCAATAACCGGTGAATTATTCATACTTTGACAATTATATATATACTATATAACAAAACACTTATTTACTGAGACCTCGGGAAAGCAGTGTGTTTTGTGGCCCCTCGACCGCCGTTGACAACGGCGGTCTCGGGTCCACAAAACACACTGTTTCCCTCGGTCTCAGTAAATAAGTGTTAATTGTTGAAGGGATTTGTAGATGGAAAATTCCACTCGAAAATTCCATCTACAATTCCCTTTAGCAACTCAATCAGGCCTACCTGACAAGCACAGAATCGTCCGAAACTGAGTGGACGATGTTTGGCTGGATGTTTCGTTTACATCATTCCCACTATATCTTCTTACCAAAAAAACCTCCACAGGTTTCCAAGGAATTAATTGGTCCATAAGACCAATAACAAGTATTGTTTCGGCCACGGCAATGCTGCTGTTACGCTGCTGTTAAAGGTAGTGGGGGGCAGTTGGACTTTTGAATGATCCAGCATAGCCGAGACGATGGTTGGTTGCCGGCCCTGAGGTTGCAGGGATAATTTCCAGGTACGAGGAGAGTAGTACTGCGAGCATATACTGAAGACATCGGTCATATTACCACCATGAACACAATCAAGGAGTGCAGGTAGCTTTCCAAATTGACGTGAAGTCGTTCACGTATTGACGATGTGGGAATCCATTTCAAGATGAAAGTACCCAAGAGCTTGTAGTCTATGGAATTGTGTAATTTCGACTGTGGAGAATTTAAATTAAAGTGGAAGAAATCAGCGAAGTACGTCATGGAAAGACTTGTTGACCGCACAGTCCTGAAACAGATCCAATCCCTAATCCATCTGCACAGAAATATAATTCTATCTACACAAACCTTTCAAGTCTAGTCCTAGTCAAGTACTAGTCCTATCGAGTGAGATGCACGAAAAATCATGATATTCATCACCAGTAACCTAGCTTATACACATGGTATCACTTTAGTATACTGTATATATACATGAACCGTGCGGTTAAAGCTCGACAACTGGACTGTTCAATTGGTTAGAGCACTGCACCAGAATCGCAGTACCGCTGGTTCGATTCTTGGCAGAGGGCCAAAAGTTGCATTTGGTTCCAACCTCCTGGTTCGGTCTGAAAATATATAAAATTTACACTCGAAAATTCTATCTACAGAAACCCCTCAACAGTTAGTTCTATCGAGTAAGATGCCTAAAAAATCCTAATATTTAAGTACCTTATATAATTCAGCCTATGACAGGGGGGACTGTCATTCCAGATAAAGCGTATTTTTATTAAGGGAAGCCTCACATATCGATTTTTTCCACGAGAAACGTCATATGTTCGTTTGGGGGTGGGGGGGTTGACAGCTGTGACGTTTCTCTGTAAACATCATGGAAAAAATCGATAGTTTTTATCTTTGCAGAGTATAAAAAAGAAAACAATTTGATACAAACAGCAGTCTATATATTCGTAATACCATACCTGTTCTATACCATACATAATACATTTATATTATTACGCCTTCTTTGCATTTGAAAACACTCAAATTTCAAGAAATACGCGCTAAAATTATCAATATTTCATGCAAAAAAAGTTGTTTTGAGAAACGTTGGAAATTTTGAAGTTCACATATATATTAATAAAAAAAAAGTATGTCAGCAGAAGATGACATATTCCTCGCGGAAGCATCGCCAATAGCCGACCGAAAAAAATAGTAGAAAATTACTTTATGTGTACTATAAGAACAAAATATCGATAACTATGGGTGACGTTTCTAAGGGGGGGGTGGGGGGTCTCCAGAGAAACGAACATATGACGTTTCTCATGGACAAAATCGATATGTGAGGCTTCCCTAAACAAGTGGCGTGGCACCGTCTTCAGTGCACCTCGGTGCACGGTCTGTATAGACTCGGTTCAATTCCGTCTCTCAAGGCCGCGGTTGATTAAGTTCGCGTTCATTTCGGAACTACCCGTGCCACTACATAACCCGCGAACAGGCATACTCTGGGAACGATATTGGTTTTTGTCAAACAACAAACGCCGAGCAAGGTAATAAAGAGTAAATGGACCTGTTGTTTTAAAACGGCAATCCATAACTATTCTTATATGATTATATGAAACGAAGAAAAATGAAACGAAAATTCTGACAAGAAAATTCTGCCTTTCCGTTTGCCGTTGCCCGGAAACTTGAAGCTTAAACTGTACGCGAGCGGTGAAAAAAGGCGCGAAAATATGAGAAACTGAGTAGGGCTGACTGTACTGCTCTACATCGCTCTATTGCAATATTTTTAGCTTTATTACTGTTTCTCTTGTATCAGTCCAGTCGACTGCATGACTTGTAGTTGTATGACTTGTAGTTGTACTGTAGATAGTACCACAGATACAGTATCTTGACTAACCCCGTGCCTCTTAATTTTTAACTCCTATATTTTGAGATAACAATTCATGACAAGGTTTATAATTGATATTTAGGGTTTTTCTTTAATACTACAGTAACATCTAGGGTAGATAACGAGCTCCCAGTTTCAACGGCTCTTTGTTTAACCTCATCTTTCATTAGGCAAATTGTCAAAACAAAAACAACCCGGTCGTGTGCTAGAGAAGGCAAATGCTATCCTTGGCAGTATTCTTTAGTTTTAACATTATTAATTTCGTAAATATATAATGGCACGAATATTTTGCCAATTAAATATGGTGGGTTTATATTCGGATAAGCAACGCAATAATATCTTAAACTTTGCGGTTTCGTATAGGGCCATAGCTTTACAAGGTTGTAGCTGGGAGAGGCCGTATTACAAGCGTATGCAGCCTTGTGCAGACCACCATGGCATATGCATGCATATAAAGAAATGTATATGGTTTTGAAATTCTGACTATTTTTGAACACGTTTATTTAGTCTACAACTTACACTATGCTAGCATTGTGCATTTGAATTAATATTAGTAATGTCTGTGTCGTTTGATATTGCGCCGTCTCCCACTGCGCGGTGCGACATTTCTGATCTAAATACTGTATTTGTGACCGTGGTGCAACGAGAATAAACGCGGCCGGCAGCGGAATACGGCGCTAATCTTTGCCACAAACAGAAGGTCTTTGTTACCTGTTGTCAAGGGGGCGTGTTCTATTAAATTAAATCCACTAAAATAGGCCTAAATTTCTTGAAATCGGAAATTTCTCTACTCGCCGTAATAAAAACCGTTATGTATTTCTTTATACCATAAAATATTAGTTTTTCATTGAAATATGAGTTCTCTTTTTCTTACAACGCTACCGACAAATCGATATTTACAGGTCTCGCTTCCGCGCAAATTTCGTGATCACGGATCAAATAACATCCTAAATTGCCACAAATGGTCTTTTGATCACGGGCCATTGGCTTGCAAGGGCTGAGTGTTATTTGCTAGTTTCAAATTCTGGCTGAGATATTTTGACTAAGGCATAAGCTGTCGCCACCGTCGACCTAACTGTGTACTGTGTAAGTCGTTCGAAGCTTGGTTTATCTTCTAAGACAGGACACGTGAATACACTCTTGAATAATGAGAAGAAAGGCTTTGTTGTTCTCTTTATTGCTTGCTTTATCGTTATTCTCGATTTCGTACAGCCAGGGTGAGTGAAAATGTATTATGTTTTATAACATTGGTAACATATTTACATTCATTGAGCTTACAGCCATATAACTTCTTATTTATATATAATCGCCATGTGTAAAATAAACTTGCGCGTTGTTTCTCTCTTGCCCAATATCTTAGATATTCAGTGATTTCAATAACAGCTCTATTCCTGCCTATAATCTTTGGTTTAATAATTTCTGTTGTACAAATTTCCATACGGCAGTTTTCTTCGTCGATTAATGGCGCGCTTATTATTCTAATGCAGTGCGTGTATTTTGAATAAACAACGCAATATTGCGACAGTTTAATTTTAATATAGCGTATTAACTTTTCTTTAAATATCTTAAACACCTGTTAGTAATATCGAGTGCTTGATGTAAAGTGAATATGTTCCATACACAATACAAAAGACTTGTGATAAAATAAATGAAATGGACAATTTGATTTCTGCATAATTTTGCAATATAGGATAGCATTTTCATGCACGTTGTATGCCCGAACCTGTATGATTTTATGCGAGATCAAATTTATAATCTGTCATATATTGGCGTGATCCGACGAATAATGCAGACTTTTATTCTTTTCCTGCGATAAAATACTAGCTGCAGTTGTTGAAAAGCAATACATATATATTTCATGGATCCTATATAGCTAGCGCTTTTCGTACAGACCATGCATAAGTTATATCTCTGGTCAGTTTAAATATAGAAATATAAAACCGATTTAAGCTTAGTTTTATACATAGTAATCTAAAAATTATTAATATTATTCAAAATAGCAACTTGTTTTTCATAATATTTTTATAATTACGTTAGTATGTATAACTGTTTTTGAATTCAGCATTTCTGCATTGCCTGCATTCATACATTATACATATGTCCAGATATTTTGTGTCTCCTATAAGGGTAAATTTTTAATATTTTGTATAGAATCAGAGAATTTCTTTTTTTGTTCTGAATCTATTTGACCATTATCTGCACGAAGTTCCATCGGTCTCACTGCTCCTCTGCACAGCAGTAAAATACTGGTAATTATTTTCACCATGCACAAATGTATTTTTCATCTTGAACAATTTACAGTAAGTTATATTCCAAACCCCTACTGATACCGAGTTGACTGATTATTACGATTATACTAAACAACAGGAGATCATTGTATTCTAGTTCTGATATAAAACATATGCAACCGAATTTTATCAAGATAACTGCGGTTTTATAAAGATAAATCACTTTCCTCGCTTGAAATGACCCACTGATACAAACTACATGCACATGCATGATAAAAATTCGTGATAAAATTTAGCCCTCTTTTTCTCCATGACTCCACTTGACCTTGGCTTGCAAAGCGAAGACGAAGTATGAAGCGTTTATATTATGCTCGTTATCAGTTGCATTAAAAGCATTTAAATGTTCCTTTCCGAATGTTATTTACTGATAATTGTAAATGAATTAGGTCGAATTAAGGTCTCCTTTTACTTGCTCATTTTTCAAACAATTTGTTTGTATCTAGACGGGCAGACCGTCAGCAACGCAAACTAGTTACACGAGACGACATTTAATAACGTCAACTCGCAATGCAAATCGTTACAGAGCCAATCAACTTTCGTGTAACCTCATTTGCATTGCAAGTTGTCGTTACAAGTTGTCCCGTGTATTAACATCGTCGTTCCGTTCGCAGCCGCGAAGCCTTGGGAACGAGGATGCCTCAAGACTAGCTTTTTACGTGTCTTTATTTCATAATCCTGCCCGGTTTTCTTTGATGTTCCGCGACCTTTCACAGGTCCAGATACCTTGGCATGTTGGAAAGATATAAGCATAGATATACGATTGCACATTTTACACCTGCATGTGCAGAAAATAAACTGCTAAATAATTCCTCGAGAAACCTATTGACTATTGCATTGCTCGGATAGTGCCAAGGCACTCCTTTTAAATAGTCTTGATAGGTTTAGCATTAAAATTGTCAATAATTACCGGTTTCCCATACTTTACATATTTTAAATTTAGGGTTCCACTACTTTGCCAATAGTTTAGAAACATACAAAGGCAAAATGTTTTTAGTTTCATGAATTTTTAAATCCAGGTGTATTTTAACATGTTTTAATGCTACCATGCATGCTCTAATGTGAATAAAACAACGTAAACTATAAAAACGTGAGTAAGTTACTCTTTGGCCCTAGCTCTGAAAACGATAATGACATTGCTGCGTCCATCCGCTTTGATCACATCATCACTCATATTTTAGATCACTCGACTACCATACCATGTAGTACGAGAAATGTTGGCTATAGCCATAGGTATGATTCTAATAGTCTTTGAAGCGACTATTTCAGTACGTCCAACGTCCGTCACAACCGTGAATCTCCACAGGATCATCACGAAATACACCATGTCGCGTATTCGTTAGTCTAGAATATAAACGATGAAAGTTGATATGAAAGTTGAATCTTTGCCAAATATTTACGTTGTGTAAATGTGTACTAAGGGGCTGACCATTAGAAAAATGTTGGGGGGGGGGGGGTTCGGCTTGCCCGAATTTTTTCTGAGTGTCTGCTTGTGCTGGAATTTTTTGTGGAATTTCAGTATTTTCTTTGCTTTCCTCTTTGCACGATTTTTTTTCAAGTTCCTTTGCACGATCCCCACTCCTTCCATCACTTTTCTAATGGTCTGAAACATGCTTTGAAATAAAGTCGAAATATCACCATATAAAATTTTGTCTTGATTTTTTAATAATTCATATCTTGTATTTTCAAGATGCATCGTTTCGGAATTTGTTTTATCCTACCATCCTTACCCTGCCAGCTATGATCGAGTTTGACTAATGGTCGCGTGTCGCGGGTAAAAAGTCGCGGGTTGAGTCGCGGGTTGAATAAAGTGTGTAAAAATCACATTAACATTTAGTTATTTAATGGTTTTTATCAATAGTTGTTCGAAGATGTTATGGCTGCAATTGCGAGTTTCTAGATATAGACAAGAACCATATAACATTATTGTAAAGCACGTTGATAGACGGTAGTGCAAAAGGATCCTGTTACACATTCCTATGTTTATAGTCCTGATTTTAGTAATACATATTACCATCCAATTTCTACTATATCAGGCGTAAAAATCCGCTATTCAGTGGCTCAGTGCGCGTTGTCGTCAAGCCTCTGAGCATCGATCAGTACTTTCCAGAAACAAGTGCTAGAGAACAGCGACTTAAATATCCGGGTTGTTGAGTGAATCATAATGTACTTTTATAATGTCCTAGCATGGATATATCTATTATTTGTGATACTATATGGTTGTTTTTAAATTGGTATAAAACTGATTTAATAGTAGTGGTAAACTGAATTTATTTCTACCAAAGTCTTGTTTGTTTCTTTCAGAACATATTTTTTGATTAGAGGATTTTTGTCATGGTATATAATTGTTGGTTTAACATTCTTTCAAGTTTTAGGCTTCTGGCACGTTTATATAGAACCATTAAATCATGACAAAAGGCTCTTGGGCAACATTTCGTATTGAAGCAATATAACGTGATTTTTACACACTTTATTCAACCCGCGTCTCAATAAAATACACGGTTTGGAGCTTTTTTTCGACCCGTGACTTTTACCCGCGACATTTTACCCGCGACATTCTACCCGCGACACGCGACTTTTTACCCGCGACACGCGACTTTTTACACGCGACCCGCGACCATTAGTCAAACTCACTATGATCCTATGATAATATTTTGTTTTTTCACTATTCCTTTGTCGGCATAAAATTGGCTGACGTGAGTGCATGCCGCCAAAGATTAAGTAGATTCGCCGAGAAAGGTCGCAGCGTCAATGACGAGCTCCCACATTATTGTCTATTTGAGTATTTATAGCGCACTTTCTACAAAGTAAATGAACACTGTAGCACTATAATTAGTAAATACCTTTACGATAAGTGTCATCATTTAGACTTCTATATAAATGAGTATTGACAGGGTGCATTAGCAATGTTTTTATTTTAAATGCACGCAAAATATGTACCGAAAGGTTGTTTCAAACCGGTGGTGGTCTCTCCGTGTACCTTCTAGCGCTGTACTGTCAACGTAAAGTTGACTCGATATAAGAATGTCATGGTCTCCCTGATAATGAAGCACTGAGTTCACCATTCATTGCATTTTAATAAAAATTTTGGCTCTGAGTAAGAGAGTGCTAGTGACCATGTTATACAGTATATACGACATTTTTTAGAACGAGACTGTGTGCTTAGTCTTACGCCCATATTCTAAAAGCTCACTCACACTCACACGCAATGAGTGGAGGTTCAATTGGAGCTTTTCTCGAGTGTCATTTCTGTTTTTGAATAGCTGGAGGGTTAGTGCCGTACCGTACTATGTGATTACTCACCCTCCAGCTATTCAAAAACAGCATTGACACTCAAGGGAAGCTCATATTGAACCTCCACTCATTCAGTGCGAGTGTGAGTGAGCTTTTAGAATACGGGCGTCAGTCTCTTAGATCTGCACTGTACCTCGCACTGTACAATCTAGATGAGTGATGAGTCACAAATTTTAATGATCCTCAAACCCTTTGAGTATTACATTCATGAAGGAAAGAAAGACATTAATGTATTGTGAATGGAAAATTTCCTGTCGTCACGGCTTATTAAAATCAAATTTATAAACCACTCAGTATTAAGTTGTTTTCAATTTGCTAATCAACAATGCAAATATGATACGATTGAAGGAAATGCTAATTTAATATCATTAACTTTAAAATTCAAAGGTTTTACTGTTTTACGTATTGGCCCGTATCAAAAGCTTGCTTGTACTGAAAGCGACTGGAGTTAATTATTCCCTCTACAGTTCAAGTTTTCCTCCAGATGCCGTGAGTGAGCTCATTTTAAAGTCAACAGCATGTGCTAGATCATTTCCATATTGCTGGAAATTTAATTCGTGTGAAAATGTTGGGGAATTTTAATAAAATTTTATTGATGTTCACTGAGTAAGTCTGAGTTAACATAATGGGTTATTGATGCACATGTGAAAACAGTATACTCTATCTTCTTTCATATAGTTTGTTGCATGCGTATGTCAGTACGTGTCGAAATGGACATTTTATTCAGTCTCAATTATAAAGGTCGAGGGCACTTGAAAACAAGGAGAGGTTGTGTATGAAGCCAAAATAGCTGAAGCAATAGCACACAGCACACTTGATATTAATTATTGGGAAGGTCAATGGACTGTCACCTCTTCGAACTGTTGGTGACGATCTCGAGCGCGTTCACCAATTACCTGAATGCCTAAGTTAGCATTTTCAGGGTATAGGCCCAAATAAGTGACATAAAGCCTCTGCGTAGAGTGATCTCGCATCAATACTTTCCGTTTTTGTTCACACCATGTGTACTTTCGTTTTAATGTGCTATAAACTCTAATTACCTCCATCAGCACTACAAAAAATTGGCATTTTATGCGTGTATGCCGACTATAGGGATGGACCTCGTGTTTTCCATATATGAACATACTCCTTAAAAGTTTTGTATTAATATTTAATCAACAACAAAATACCAGTTTTGGTATATTAAGATACGTACATAAAAAATTTACCACTACACTACATACAAAAATTAATGGCCAGCAGAACGGTTAACGTACGCATATACGCATAGTCTTTCGAGACATGGTCTGGAAACTCAGTAAACTTCAAAGCGGCTATAATGAGCTGGGAGTTTATGTTGAACCGTACTTACATCGTGCACATCCTTTGTTTCAGGTTTATTAATATTTAAATAGCATGGTTGAATGACTTATCTGAAACGTTGCTATTGGATGATTCCTTCATTATACTGAAATACAATGTGTTCATTGACCGTGTACCGTGCACAAAACTGCATAAACGCGAACAAAAAGATAGCCAAAGACTTTAGCGGAGTTTCCAAACCATGTTTTGAAAGAGTATGACGTACGCCGAAAAGAGCCATATAGACAAGAATATAGACATAAAATGTATTTAAGAAGTACTAACGTTTCGTCTTTAGACCTCTTGTCTTAAGTTAATTAAGACGAAACGTTAGTACTTCTTAAAATAAATTTGCTATATTCTTGCCTATATGGCTCTTTTGCGTACGTTATGCTGGGCATTAATTTTTATATTACGATTACGATTCCCGCCTGGTTCATCACTTGCAAACATACAAAAATATAACAATTTTACTAATAACCTAATTTAAACTTTCAAAAACTGCTAAAATGTCGAAACAGTATTTGGCAACCAAGTTCATAATTGTCTTGTCTTGAATAGCCATAATATATCTAAAAATATCTTGTTGAGTGAACAAACAGAAAGAACGATTTATTTTACATAAATTATTTATAGAAATATTTCTAAGACTAATAAATTTAGAATTTCTGCATGACATTAGAAAGTGGTATTCATTTTCAATCTCATTTATGTCACAATGTTTACATAGCCTATCATTGGAACATTGTTATATCGCTGACTCTTCCACAGTCCCTCATCCGTTATCCGTACACGCGGTCGCGTTAATTTCGCATTCCCATTAAGCACCGCGCTCCCATTGTTTTTCCACTGATCTCTATTCCCAACTGAAGGGACGAGGCAGGTTATATCGACCAGTTTCAACAGGTAATCTATGTGCTCAGATCCTTAGTTTTGTAACAGCTTGACGATATATATGTCATATATGCTTGACGATATATATGTAATATGATATATACAGTACATGTGTCAGTATGCATGGAGCGAGTTGGTATAGCCAAGGTTATACTGTATTTGCCCGTTTAATTAAGCGGAGCCCCCGATTAAGCGTCGCATAGACTTTTTAACCCCGATTAAGCGTTGATTAGACTTTGCGTCATCGTCGGGATATAGTTCTAAAAGGGTTTCTGCAAACTGACTGCTGCTTATGGCTAGGGGTAAAACGCGGAAACGGACTGGCGGAACCGGAATGGCGGAACCGGAAAAGCGAAAGGGTAAAACGCGGAAAAAAGGGTAAAACGCGGAAAAAAAGAGTAAAACGCGGAAAAAAGGGTAAAACGCGGAAAAAAGAGTAAAACGCGGAAAAAAGGGTAAAACGCGGAAAAAAGAGTAAAACGCGGAAAAAAAAGGTAAAACGCGGAAAAAAGGGTAAAACGCGGAAAAAAGGTAAAACGCGGAAAAAAGGTAAAACGCGGAAAACAAATTTTTGAAACCAAACTTTGATTTTGTTAACAAAATCAAATTTAATCTAATTAAATACCATAATAAAACGAAGTAAATGTACCTCATTACTGTACTTGAGTTCTATGGTAAAACGCGGAAAACAAACTTTGAAACCAAACTTTGATTTTGTTAACAAAATCAAATTTAATCTAATTAAATACCATAATAAAACGAAGTAAATGTACCTCATTACTGTACTTGAGTTCTATTTTTGAGAAGTCGGCATGTAACAAAGTAAAATTTCTTTGGAGTACTTTTACTTGGAACGAAGTCGTTTAAAGAAGTAACGTTTTACTTCGTTATTTTCATTATGTTGCGTAGTATTTTGTTACTTTCAAACTTTTGTTTAATTTTACGTGATGTATTCAGGTTTTATTTTAATTTTGGGATAGGTAATAGGACCTCTACATGCGTCTGGATTGATTTCTTATATCTTCAACGGGATCTGGAGGGTGGACCATTATTATTATTATTATTCATTTATATAGCGCCATTTCCCATAGCTCAATAGCGCTTAACATTAAGTGTTAAAAATATATACTAAGTGTTAGAACATAGTACATGCATTGACTACTAAAATTACTATACTATAAAATTACTAAAAAATTAATTATATGCTCTTCTCGTTAAGAATATAAAATTACTTTATGTTATGTATGTTGATAATATTAAAACAACAACTATATAGAATACTATAAAATTGCTAATAATCTTGTTAAGATAATAACTTAGTCATAATATTGTTTAAAAAGATGTGTCTTTAATCTGGTTTTAAAAATAGGCAAGGTCTCACTCTTTCTAATATACTCTGGCAGTTCGTTCCACAGTTTCGGTGCAGCATATGAGAACGATCGTTCACCATAGTTCACTAGTTTTACTGAGGGTATGGTAAGCAATCCTTTGGATGAGGAGCGTAAATTTGCTGATGGTGTGTAAGGTTTTAGCATATTATTAATGTAATGTGGAGCTGAGCCATTCAGAGATTTATACGTAATAAGAACAATTTTATAGATGATGCGTTGACTGATGGGGAGCCAATGTAATTGTTTCATTAATGGAGTAATATGATCGTATTTTTTGCTTCCTGTCACCAGTCGAGCAGCACAGTTTTGCACATTCTGTAACCGATCAATAAGAAATTTAGGCAATCCGTATAATAAAGAATTACAATTATCCAGTTTCGATGTAATAAAGGCATGAACTAAAGTTTGGATATCTGACGTTGATAAGTACTCTTTTATTCTTGCTATTTTTCTCAAATGGAAAAAACAGTTCTTGCAAATATTGGTAACATGTTTATCCATAGACATGTGGTGGTCGAAAGTTACACCAATGTTTCGTGCTGAAGTACTTGGTTGAATTCTTGAATTAGATACTTCTATATATTCTACAGCAGGGCATGAACGATTTCGTGCATTGATTACTAGTAGTTCAGTCTTGTCCCCATTCAATTTCAATTTATTTTTGACCATCCACAAATCAATCTCTTTCACACACATTTCAATTTGTGCCAGTGCTCCCAATTTTCCCTCAATGGTTGACTCAAAAGCGAGATATAATTGCGAGTCATCTGCATAAAAGTGAAAATCAAGACCATGACCTCTGATGATATCACCAAGGGGTGAAGTGTATAATAAATATAGTATAGGGCCGAGAACTGATCCTTGTGGGACTCCACAGCGCAAGTCTTTAGAGATAGATTTAACACCGTCAACCACTACACTTTGCGTTCTATTCTGAAGATAGGACTGAAACCATTTCAACACTTGCCCATCTATTCCAAACTTTTGAACATTCGTTGTAGTAAAAGTTCATATCAACAGTATCGATTGCTGCTGACATATCTAGTAATAACAACACCACACACTTATGATTATCAATGGCTACAAGAATATCGTTTTGTACTTTTAATAGGGTTGTTTCTGCACTATGAAAACGTTTATATGCCGACTGGAAGGGTTCTTCTAAGTTGTTATTAGCCAAGTGTTCCAGAAGCTGACCGGCAGCAACCTTCTCAATTACTTTAGACAGGAATTTTAAATTTGAAATAGGTCGGAAATTTGTGTATTCTTCGTACTCCAGCGAATCTTTCTTTAGTTTTGGTTTCAACACGGCTTCTTTTAGTTTCTCAGGCATACAACCTGACTGAAGTGACTTATTACTAATCTTAGTAATTATAGGTAAGAGAGTCTTCTGACAACCTTGAAAGATTTTTGCGGGAACTGGATCAAGTTCACAAGATTTTTTACCAACTTTATCAATAACATTTTAAATCTCATGTTCCGTGACTTCTTGAAAGTTAATGAATTTAACGCATTGTGCATATTGTTCCTCTTGATTTCGCTGATTACAGTGGGAAGAATCAATGGCTAGTTCTTTCCTTATAATAGCAATCTTATTACTGAAGAAATCTTCAAATTTATTCACGAGTTCAGTCGTTGATGACGCAGTTGGATAGCGCTTTTCTGGCTTTCGATGGAGTAATTTATCAACCGTACTAAATAACACTTTCTGATTATGTGCATTACTGGAAATAACCGATGAGTAGTATGCTGTCTTAGCATTCTTTATCATGGCATTCACTGTCTCACATTGTTTGACATATAACTGTCTGTCAATACATAGTCCAGATGCGCGCCAGCGGCGCTCTAGTTTCCTGCGATTTCTTTTTTCTTGACCAATCTCCTCATTGTACCATGGTGATCATTGTACCATGGTGATAAAGGACGAAGAGTTATAATTCGTCGTTTTTGTGGAGCATGCTGCTGTAATGTTTCTTTCAACGTATTTTCATATTTATCAATAAGGACTGAAAGATCATAATCGTCATTTAAATCTAGTACTTTTAGATCTTCATTGAAACTATCCATGTTTACATTGTTTAATTTTCGATAATAAATTTCAGCTTGTTCTAATGGTGGTTTCTCTAACTGTAATGTACAATGTATGTCAAGATGATCTGATATTACTGGATCATGTATTCTGATACCAGTCACTAATTTATCTAATTTATAATTTATCTAATTTATCTAGGACCATGCCGTGAAATATTGTATATTAGGTGCACGCATAAATGAGGTACGGCCGTCAATGGTCTACCCCATCTACAGTGCAATGCCATTCTCTAGACCATTGGAAGGAATATATGTTCAGCTTGCTTTGGCTGCTCCCAGTCACTTAAACCTCATGGGGCAATTGTCATAGAGCCGTACGATCTGGTATTAGTGACGAAGATGAATAGGGAATGGCCAGATAAGTTTACAGGAGAGAGACGCCAGAGTTTCCAGAATGTGTACTTTCACATAAATCTCCGCTGTATTAAAATGAAGCATCCCTATTTCAGTCCACGAATGGTGACAACACCCGATTCAGTTAGAGCACATTTAACTCCTGTGCATAAACATTTTCTAACAGAGTTTGGTATAATAATTTAATTGTACATAGTCACAGCACCAGTTATAAGCGAATGCCTCTATCAAATGTTGGCGGCCAATACAATTGAATCGCTTTTATAAAACATGAACCGCATGACTGAATAACTGATAGCACGCCTAGTCATAGGATAAACATTGATGGAGAATAAACTTTACGAAAGAGCTAAACGAAAGTATGGCGGTACAAATCTATTAAAGAGCACGTTGCATGTATAGAGGCATGAAGCTATAAGTACGAATGGGCGGTTGAAGAGCTAAATTACGTTTCATGTCATGCTTGCGAAATGCTATGGATTATATAGTATGGCGATGGTTAAATTAAGGCAGCGTTTACACTGTACCGTTTTCGTAGCGTTCTCGTATTGTTCGAGAGAACTAGACTATTGTCTTGCGTTCCCTTGAGGATTAAGAACAATACGAGAACGCTACGAAAACGGTACAGTGTAAACGCTGCCTAAAAGACCGTATTATCAGGAACGAATGAAGCGAAACGTCGCGTTACAATGACTTGCTTATATCGTAGCTTAGCTAATACTTTCCCATGAGCAGGACAACACATTTCAGTCTAAGTTATATTCAACATATTCGTTCCGAATGGAATACGTATACGTACTTTACGAAGCCAGTACAAAAAGTACCAAATTGTTCGGCACCAACCGACGAACAACAAAATTGCGAATTACTGAATTGGGCATTGAACAAATACATTACCAAATACTTCGTCGGCTTCTCTTTGCTTCGCGGCACACGGCTTCTGCTTGACGTTGTTTTCGGCGACTTCGTCGTGTCCTAGACGACTGGATTTCCAACTTGATCATTTTGGATCATCTTTAGACGTGAGCTTCACCATAGAGCCATGACTGACCTACTTACTGCATGGGCAGAGCGTTTAACAAACTGACCCTGAACTATTGAGATCCCCTTGTTTTATAGCCAATGTTACGCATGATTGCACTTCGAATAGTTGCGACGATTGTTATTGATCTAGTTTTTTAGTTCCTTTTGTAAATCTCTACATATTTTTCCTGTCCAAAGAACTTTAGTTTGCATGGAACTTGCATGCCTTCTCCATCACCCAAGTTAAAAATACTGACTAAAGAACTTTAGTTATAGGGATGCACAATTAAACTTTTTGTAATTTTGATGAACAGTATAATAAAACTTTTATACCTTATTAATTATTAACATAATAAACGAATCTGACACCAACTCCGGTTAATTCGAACTCTCACTAACTCGAGAACAATTTTTCGTTCTTCTTGGGAGTTCGAGTTGGCGGGGTTCTACTGTATTTCTCACGACTGAGGACAAGTTTCCCAGTACTTGGTTTTACAAGTTGGCTGCCCTGGGCCCCCTACTTCTAGCTACTAAAGTACAACTGAGGGGGTGGGTTAAATTTTTTTTCGGTCGCTCACCAATAAAAAGCGGGTCCAAACATTTTTTTAAACCATAAATTGCAAAAACGGGGTTGAAAAGATTTTTCAAACCCTAACTTTTACAAATTCACCTGCATTTTTCAGAATATTCTCCAAAATTCCATACTTTTCACAATTCTTGCATTTGGCGGCCCCCTCTGGAAATTCCTTCCCACCTGTAACTATTTTGCTCAAGTAATCCCACCTGTTTAGCTAGGTGGAATATCCGCCCTTGTATGATCGATGGCTGGCTCAGTTGTTTAAATCTGAACATTTTTACAAACTTTGTCTTTGACTTGATAATCACGTTCTGTTTTAATTATAACGTCAAAACGTTGTCGAACTTTTTATAATGTACATCTAGTAAAATCGGTACATCTTTATCATCTTCATCTTTATCAATTAGTCCAAAATACTAAAATAAAACAAAGAAATAATTAAGTTAATGAAGCATACAGTAGTAACAGGTCAAACAAAGAGTTTAGCCTGAATGGAGTCACTTTGAGTATTCAAAGTAGAGTCAAACTTTTTTTTATAAAGCATTTCATAGACCAGCATTCGAACTTGCTTTGGCATTTCCTCAAGACATGAAATTGACTGTTTTTGAGTAAATCTTTATTCTCATTTGAGCCTCATTAAAGCCCTAAATTGTTTTCCAATTGTCGGGTTCTTATTATGTTCCGCAATATGCTAATGGTCTAATTTCTATATGAACAAGTAGAGTTGGCCCAAATTTTTCCGGTCTCGTGTGAACGTAGTCTAAAGACCCGTTTACACTACACTCATTTTTGGCACGGCACTCTTAAATAATGGCACGCGGACCAAATTTTTAGGCACGGCACTCTTAATTTTCGCAGTGTAAACGCAAAATTAAGGGTCCGCGTGCCATAATTGTTTGACGGGCCGAGACCTCTTCAAGGAGGTAGTCTCGGCCCGCTTAAAATATAGCACGCGGCCCTAAAACTAATTACGCATGCGTATTCCTTGGAAACGAAAACAAGATGGCGTCAAAAACAAACCCTACTTACACTTAATTGTGCTCTATATATCGGATATAGAGTGCTGATAATTAGATAAAAGTCAGCCCTGAATCTATCCAATTAGCCTTTCTCACGATGACGAATATCCGCCATTTTTGGGTGGCATCTAATTCTCGTTAACCAATGTAGACAATTAAAACAATGTGAAAAGCAATTTTTCAAAATAAACAAACCATTTACAAAGCAAATTTACCATCAATCGTCCAAGAAATTATAAAAAGTCGGCTGAAATGCCACCCAAAAATGGCGGCGTGAGAAAGGCTAATTCAAAGCACCTCTATATCCCATATTCATGGACTACAAGTGAGGGTAACCTTAACTAAATCATATTACACCCAGATGTTTGAGTGCATAATCATTCGGAATATGTTATATTGTATGGTCATCAAACTTTATAGCTTTGAAATATACTGCATACACCGACTTCCGTCTCTAAAACTGTACTTATGTCTAACTAGTGAAATATTCAGCTAAAGCATCACGGAATAGCTCTGCGTCTGGTGCTGGCGTTTCATCAATTGGAAGTATTGGTTCCTCAATAAGTTCTTCAGCGTCAGCCCAATCAGGAAGAAATTCATTTTTAAGAGCTTCGAATATGTTATGTAACACGCAGGAGGCCTGTACAACATGTGCCAGAGTACTTACATCCATGCCCACCCGCTTTTTGAATCTGATGTATCTTCCTTTTCACCTACCAAAGGTGTTTTTTTACCGTCATTCGTGCACGAATAAGACGATAGTTAAAAACACGTTGACTTCTTGTTGCCTCGTTCCTAGGGTAGCCCTTTAACACCCATGATAACAGCGGATAGGCTGGGTCCGCAAGAATTACCGGTGGTATCTCCACCCCACATATTTCCCTATTGAGGTCATCTGGGAAAAGACAGTTATCCCTTCCTTTTGCAAAAATGGCTGAGTTGGAGAAAATCCGCGCATCATGTACGCTTCCTGGCCAACCGATAACTACGTACGTCCCTGAATATATAATTACAATCTACCACAACCTGCATAAGGACGCTATGAAACCCCTTACGGTTGACATAATCTGTGTGATTTTTGTTAGGTGCCAGTATCGGTATGTGAGTTCCATCCACAGCGCCCGCACACATAGGAAAGCTCCATGTCTCTTCATAACCTCGAATGACTCGCAAAAGGTCATCACCCTTAGGGAAGCTGATAGCATGTGATGATTTGAAAACTGCTTTGCTATTGCATGACATACTTATTTATTGCACTGGCACACAAACGACCGTGAAACTTCGAATAAGTTGCCAATTGTGCGGTATTCAGCCGTGGATGCTAGATAATATAATGTAACTGCCAGCCGTCGCTTCGCTGAAACTGCTTCTCGAAGATGTATATTTTCATAAGCTATTTCGGGCTCAACCTTTCCGGCTGAGAATAAATGTAAACGTTTCTTTCGTAACTCTGAAGTTAGCATACCATAGCTCGTCGTTGTACGTGTCGCCCACCATCTCAAACCAGATCTGTGTTCGTGGGTGCATCCACAGTGTTCTAGTTCTTTTGCGATGAAAAAAGGCTAGTACAATTTCGGTGAATTCCTTTTTAAATACCTTTTCTTTTTATGTTGTGAAGCGCTATTCTACGTACACGGTTATCTTTAAATTTTGCCAAGCGTAAACGTCTCCGTTTTGTCACATAAAAATACCAAACAAGTGCCGAGTTTGCTGTTTTTACATCCTCCATTTTTTAAAATGCCCGCGAATTTTACTTTAAGAATTTAACCGCTGAAGTTTGATTTAAGGGCGCAGTATTTAAGCGGGCCGTATTCAACAGTAGGGGTGCTAGTGCATCTTGATGGCCCGCCAAAATTTGTAGTGTAAATGATGCTGATTTTTCAAGAAAATGGCTCCCATGCCATTATTTAAGAGTGCCGTGCCAAAAATGAGTGTATGTAAACGGGGCTTAATAATCACACTAACATTCAATACGATAGCTACAACTCAACTAAAGAAGTTTTAAAAACTTTCTATTCTCAACAAGAAAATAAACTTAGGAACCGTTTGAAATGTCAAGGTTCCTTTTTCGAAAATGTTTCTAAATTCTCTCTATCACAACTTAACGCAATCTGGTCGGTATCGCAATCAAAGCTATACTATACATACTATACACTATACACACTAACATTCAATACGATAGCTATAGCTATACACACTAACATTCAATACGATAGCTAATAACTCAACTAAAGAAGTTTTAAAAACTTTCTATTCTCAACAAGAAAATAAACTTAGGAACCGTTTGAAATGTCAAGGTTCCTTTTTCGAAAATGTTTCTAAATAGCTATACACACTAACATTCAATACGATAGCTACAACTCAACTAAAGAAGTTTTAAAAACTTTCTATTCTCAACAAGAAAATAAACTTAGGAACCGTTTGAAATGTCAAGGTTCCTTTTTCGAAAATGTTTCTAAATTCTCCCTATCACAACTTAACGCAATCTGGTCGGTATCGCAATCAAAGCTATACCAAAGAACATTTTCAACTTTACAATTCGCTATATAAATAATACCCTTCCTACCCGAAAGAACCTCAGTAGATGGGGGATTTCATCAAGTTTATCTGACTGCTCGTTCTGCTTACACCCTGAATCACTTCTACACGTTGTTGCCGGTTGTCAACATTACTTGGAACGATTTACTTGGAGACACGATTAGCATACTAAAGTTTCTTGCAAAAACTTTTCAAAGTTTGAACGAATGCAAATTACTTGTTGATCTTCCTGGATTTGAAAGCCCCTCGATTATTACGGGAGATGAATATCGTCCTGATTTACTTGTCTCCACTTCAGAGAAACACCTCTACGTTGTTGAACTTACCGTCGGCTTTAAATCAAACCTCACAAACAATGTTAACCGCAAGAAAGCTAAATATAAGAACCTAATTAGAGAACTGGATCAAAACTTCACTTCTGTTAAATTTATAACTCTTTCTGTCAGTTCGCTAGGGGTGTTTGGCAAAGAATGTCATACATTCGTAAAAATGCTAAATGATTAATCAACACCAACAATAACAGTGTATCAGAAAAGTGATATCTATTGCCATCCGATCAACGTACTACATATTTTGCTGTAGAAATAAAGAATGGACAAATCCTGAACTAATGAACATTTAAAGTAACTATTTCTATAAATATTAACAATTTTTGAATTTTGTATATAAAATTATAACCATGTATAAGTGATTCATTAAAAAACGAGCAGGCGTGTTTTATTAGGTTTAAAGCCACGAGCACGCAGCGCGAGTGGCTTTAGACCTAATAAAACACGACCTGCGAGTTTTTTAAATGGCTTCAAAAACGTTTGCATAATAAGTCAAATCTTTATATAAAAATCTTTATATAAAAATCTTTATATAGTTTGCATAACAATGGTCTTTTGTTAAAGCTTTCTTTAGCTGGTATAAAGACGTATGCACGTGACTAATTTCTTACTCAAGATTGTATAATTGCTTCATGAATTATTACATTGAAATATCATGAATTATAAATGTTCTATTAATAAAGTTTTCATTATTATTTTTCAAATGAGACAAAACTAGCGAAGAACAAGTCTCGACCAGAATGTCTTTAGTCTTTGAGAGTTCTGTACGTGTGTTGATCTGATTTAAATTCTGTATCTTAATTTGATTGTCAGGGTATAGTTAACCATGCATGCATGCATGCATGCATGCATGCATTATTAAGTACAAACTCGACTTGTCAAGCGAGACTTTCATCTATATTTACAAACAAATAAATTACGAAAAACCAATTAGATTTATGTTAATAGCTATAGATGAAAGCCTTGACGAGTTCGATCTGTGGACAGATCGCTCCTTCAACTTTCAAAATCAAATAAAAGGTTTTGAGTTTTTCAAAAGCTCAACAGTATTTCTTATGTGAATAGAAAAGATCACTTACTGTTATTGAATGTTGTTGAAAAATTTTGTCCAGATATGAAGATCAAAAGCGTCATTTCCTTAAAAATGCCACTTTGCATTTCGAACTGCGTTTTCCCTATAGTTTTGTATTGAAAACGCAGCGATGGTACTGGATGCTGGCATATTACATTTTTTTGGAATAATGAATTTGCTTTTGATGGCGTGATAAATGGCGTCAGCTTCGCAATCCGTGTGACGTCCTTAATACTATATTTTCGCCTGATTTTCACTAGCGGGCCACTAGCCTGCGTAGCGGCTATATTTTCACTGAGTGAACTCTCTTTATATCTTTACTCTTTGGTTCAGTGTTGGCCATTTCCGAACACTTTATGCTACTTCTATTTTTTGGAAAATATAGGCGAGGGATTGCTGCATGCATGTATTTGTAATTGTAGTGACCAAATTAAAATAGTAGTTCTAACACATTGTGGTAACGTGCACAACCTTCGCTTTTTCACACAATATAGGTTACGTGTATAGTCAGAAACATAACCTTGTGCCTTCTAGATCTGTCTACATTTGTGCTCTACTTGTTCTTACTACGTTCTTGTCAACCTTATTCTTTCTTATCCCAAGTTTAAAGCGTACAGCATTGGTAATTTATGGAGTTTTTGATCAATATAAATAAATATGGGAATTGAAAATTTTAATGGAAATTGAAAATTTTAATGTGGAAGCACTGTGCCGTACAAATGAGATACGGCGGTAGGCATTCTACAGTATAGCACAGAATAGATAGTGTCTATAGCTAGGTGAAAAGGCTGACAAGGTCCTGCAATAGGTAAGTACATACATTACGTAAATACGAACTACAAATAAGAATTTCCGTTACTAATCTTATTTTCTTAGACTGAATTTTGTGGAAATGCGAAATTCACCGAAAACGATCTACAAGACACATGGAGAAATAAATGCCTACAATACATATATTTTAGTTATTACAGTGTATCTGTCTTTTGAAAGGAATTAGCTCTTATTTTAATATTTGGATCTATGTTCGCAGGAGTATAACTGAGCCTCGAAGGATTTGCTCTGCTTATATTCTTGTGGTTTCACTTTCGCGAGATTTTAATACGTGGAACTTTAATTCCTGGAACAAGGAAGTGAAAGCAACTACTTAAGTGAGTTAAGTCCATTGACACAATGTCATAGTGCTTTGATATCTAGGGCCGTTGCTTACTTCAATCTCTAGATGGCTCTGGACTAGGCCTCCGGATCATTAGAGGTGAATGACGTCATCTTAGAAGAAGACGCCAGGCTCCCACGAGAATGACGCCATCTTGAATGTTAATTTTGGGGTGTACAGAGAATTTAAAGTTGATCAAGACCGGAAAAGGACAATCTCGCACACATTTTATTTTTTTCCCTTTTACAATTTTACAGTACTTGTCTCCCACGCAGCCGCGCGTAGATATTTCTCGATAAAACTTTAAAATAAGATCACAAGAAATCAGGATATTGGACCTTTCCCCTTATAACTAAAATTTTGATCTAGACAAAAATTTCATCACAGCTTGAAAGAGCATCACAAAATTCACATAATATTCTAAAGTTTCGTTGCAAAATGTTGTAAAATGCGGATAATACTAGAATATTTAGCTAGAATACGCAAGCAGCGTGTGGGTTTGCTCATCGAGAATGTTCAACGGCGGGCCACAAAATTCGTCTTGAATTATCCTGACAACATGTCGTACGTGGGCCGGTTGCAGAAAACAAATCTTCTACCACTGGAATTCCGAAGAGAAATTTCTGATCCGATGCTGCTGTTCAAATCCAAACACCACCTCATAACAATGGATATAAACAAATATTTATGCACTTACAACCCCGGCTATCAATCTCGCAACTATGACGAAAATAACTTCCACCTCATTATAAAACATAATCAGGAATACTTTCAAAACTCTTACTTTATTAGATCAGCAAAACTTTGGAACAGCCTACCAACTGAAATTAAGAAATCCAGTAGTTTATGTTCCTTTAAAACTCGTTTAAATAACTTATATAGTATGAAGTCAAAACCATACAAACTTCCTAATAACCGTAGCTAATATTTAGTTTTGTGAAGAAAATGTTTGTAATATAAGTACTAAGTATTTAGTTTAGTTCAGTAAAGTTCACTCACTAGCTCGGTGTAAGAACAACCGTAAATCAGTTCGGAATTGAAATAATGATCAAGGTCAGACTAGTGTTTACCCTGGATTCCAGAGCCTTCGACAGTAAATAATAAATTGAAATGTCGCGAAGGCTCTGGTTCAACGGGGAGATTCTTTGATTGAACGCGCCAATCACAAAACAGAATTAGTGGTTTTACTCGGTTCAATCAAAGAATCTCCCCGTTGAACCAAACCACTAATTCTGTTTTGTGATTGGCGCGGTTCAATCAAAGAATCTCCCCGTTGAACCATTAGCCTTCGCGACATTTCAATTTATTATTTACTGTCGAAGGCTCTGGAATCCAGGCATATTGTAAACACTGGACTGGAACCACTAATTCTGTTTTGTGATTGGCGCGGTTCAATCAAAGAATCTCCCCGTTGAACCAGAGCCTTCGCGACATTTCAATTTATTATTTACTGTCGAAGGCTCTGGAATCCAGGCATATTGTAAACACTGGATTTGGACTATGGACTTTGGACTTTGGACTTTCGATTTTGGACTTTCGATTTTGAAATTATATTATTTTTAAGATTTTCGTATAATTATATTAAAATCTAAACAGAGAAGGAAAATTTACTGCTGAAAAGCGTGCTACACTGCATGCACATACTTTCGATTTTGAAATTATATTATTTTTAAGATTTTCGTATAATTATATTAAAATCTAAACAGAGAAGGAAAATTTACTGCTGAAAAGCGTGCTACACTGCATGCACATGCATGATATAATATACAAGGTAAAAAATACTCAGTATCAGTTATATAGGTATACCAGCAGTGCTATTTCATAGATATAGCCTGTAGGATAGCAGGATTATCCAATATTTTGGGATTTAATGTTTAAATTTTATATAATATTTGTATTTAGTATGTATAGTACAGTTTATACTCCAGAATTTCTTCCAGTTTATCATATAGACAATAGATTAATTATAGAAACAATTGTGACAAAAGTAGCCTATCTCGGCAAATACAAAATATTGAGAAACTATAAACTATACAAGCGATTATTATTGCGCCTATAAGTAGTGTACTCAGGTGAATAT